GTGGGACATTTGTGGGTGATGACAAGATCAAGGGTATGACATCTCTATATCCTGTCAGATGCTCTGGTTTCAATTTCTATGCAAATTATTCTCATACCTATTTATCTAGACCCTACCTATCCTAACCTCCAGTCTCACATCTTCAACAGCCTTTTTTTTTTTTTTTTGGCTAGGCAGTGGGGTTAAGTGACTTGCCCAGGGTCACACAGCTAGTGTTATGTGTCTGAGGCCGTATTTGAACTCAGGTCCTCCTGAATCCAGGACCAGTGCTCTATCCACTGCGCCACCTAGCTGCCTTGAACAGCTTTTTGAACATGTCAAACTGGATGTCCTGTCAACATCTTCAACTCAGCACGTCCAAAAATGAACTCATGATCTTTTCCCCCAAACCCTCCCCTCTTCCTAACTTCCCTGTTATTGTCCAGGGCACCATCATCCTCCCAGTTAACTCAGGCATGAAACCTACATGTCATCCTCGACGCCTTGATCTCTCACACACACATACCTCCCCCATATCCAGTTTGCTGACAAGTCCTATCAATTCTGATATCTCTTGTAGATGCCCCCTTCTCTCCTCTGATACTGCCTGTCACCCTGGCGCAGGTCCTCATCACCTTGCCCCTGGACTACTGCAGTAGCTGCTGGAGGGGGGTAGGGGCTGCCTGTCTCAAGTCTGTCCCCACTCCAGTCCATCTTCCACTCAGCTGTCAAAGTGATCTTCTGTTTGGTTCTTAAAGCCCTTCCTATGTTGGCCCCTTCCTCCCTTTCTGGTCTTCTCACATCCTCTACAATCCATTGACACTGACCTCCTTGCCCAGTGACACTCCTTTTTCCAACGCTGTACTTTTTCATTAGCTATCCCCTGTTCCTGGAATTGTCTCCCTCTTCATTTCCATCTCCTGGCCTCCTTCAAGTCTCAGCTCAAGTTCTACCTTCCTTAAGGAGCCTTTTCCAGTTGCCCTTAAGGCTAGTGCCTAACCTCTAAGATTATCTCCAATTAATCTTGTGTATGTCTGGTTTGTTTGTACAAACTTGTTCACGTTTTCTGCCTTTCTTTGTGTTTCCAGGGCTTAGTACAGTGCCTGGCCCATGCCTGGGAGGTGCTTAATAAATAATTGTTTACTTGGATTGACTTGACTTGACTCAGGTCAGAGCTCTGGCATGCATACCTGCACCCAGGAAGCAGGAAATGGATGATGGTCCAACAATGGAGCCCATAAAGGTATGGTTGAACAGATCAGAGCAGAAGCAGGAGAAAGCAGTGTCATGAAAACCCAGGGAGGAGAGTATCTGGGTGGAAAAGATGGTCAACAGTGACCAATGCTGTGGAGAAATCAAGGATGATGGGAAACAGGTAAGTGGCTTTAGCAGTAACACTAGCATGCATGCAAAACCAGCTTGTAAGGGTTTCACAAGTGACTGAGAGTTAAGGAAGTGGTTCAATGAGTGCACACAGCTCTGTTAAGGACGTTATAAGTCATGTGGCACAATGGCCTCATGTTACAGATGAACAAACTCGGCAGCAGGACAACCTGCTCCAGGTAGTGGCAAAACCAGGATTCAAACCCAGTATGCGCTTCCGTGTCCTGACTATATAAAAAGGGTGGTAATAGGCTCTCTCACACTCCCCTCCCACCCCCCCCCAGTTGTTGTGAGACCATGATGTAAGGTCATGTACATAGCCAGCTTGGGAGTGCCGTTCAGTTACTACTCAGTACTCGTGATTCAATCTAAGAGCAGGGGGGTGTAAGGAAACAAAAGGGTAGCTTTGAGCACTAGACTAAAAGGGAGAAATTTCCTTTTCTTTGGCTTTTGCTAGTCATGGTGCTGTGACTGGGCCTGCCCAGGGGCCCCTGAGGGGAACAGGAGAGTAAGTCTCTCTCCTACATGCCAAGCTGGCTTTAGCAGTCTGCCCTCAGGAATATTTATCGAGTGCCCACTGTGCCCAGTCACATGGAAGTCACAAGACGAAATGGCACAGGTTGGCCTTGCCTTTGAAAAGCTTCCAGTTAGGGAGACAACGCCCACAATAAATAAACAAACACTGCCAAGGCATCAGGATAGGAGGGATTGATTGGGCACGTAGGGCCCTAACTAGCACCATCCTACTTGGGGAAATGCTTTGTGGACTTATTGGCATGCAAAATGTAGAAGGGGCTGAAAGTCAGGTTTCAATTCAATTGAACAAGCACTTATTAGGCACCTACTAACAAGGCACTGGGTTTAATGCTAGGGGCTATAAAAGGTACAGAGACCCTATCATCATGGACATTACAATTCATTAGCTACAGTACAAAATCAAATATGCTAAATGCAAGTGGAAGGGGGATTACTTCAAGTTGTGGAGGGCAGGCAGCATCTGGAGGGGGGGCGGGGCATGGAGACAGTGGAGAAGGATTTATATATGTGCCAGGTACTGTGGTAAGTGCTTATTAGAATAGGATCTCATTGGATTGGAATTCAACCTTGACCTAGACATAGAGTTTCTTTCTTTCTTTCTTTCAATTGTTTTCTGTTCAGTTTTGAATTCTTGCTCTCCTTCCATTCCCTCCACCAGAGTTGGGTTTTAATAGTCAGAGCCTGGGATAGGACTAGGTTGGTTTAAGTGCATACTGTGACCTCAAATTTTCTAAGTTACTCCCTGCCTCAAACTCTAATGGGACATAGAGACTCTCTTCTACGTGGCTAGCCTTACTTACCTTTTGACTCCTTATCACCTTCCGAAAGAGGCTAGTGTAATATTTTTTTTTTTAAAGTGAGGCAATTGGGGTTAAGTGATGGCCAGAGTCACACAGCTAGTAAGTGTTATGTGTCTGAGGCTGGATTTCAACTCAGGTCCTCCTGACTCCAGGGCTGGTGCTCTATCCACTGTGCCACCTCACTGCCCTGTAATATTCTTTTTTTTTTTTAATTTTTATTTTTTTGGCTGGGCAGTGGGGTTAAGTGACTTGCCCAGGGTCACATGGCTAGTAAGTGTTATGTGTCTGAGGCTGGATTTGAACTCAGGTCCTCCTGAATCCAGGGCCAGTGCTCTATCCACTGCACCACCTAGCGGCCCCCCCACCCCGTAACATTCTTCTTAAGCCCCAGTCTCCATCCCCCCCCAACCTCAGCAGCCTCTCTGTACAAAGAGACAAGGGCATCTGCACACAGCACTTATCTACTTCTAATAATCTGAGTTGGCCAGAATTATATAAAATAGTATACTCATAACTTCAGTATGACTTTGACTGTTAAACATACATTTTTAAACTGGATGCATTCCAGGCACATGTGAGGCACATGTGAGAGGAGGCAGACTGGAAGTAAGTTTTAAGAGACCTTCCAAACTAAGTATAAAATGTGATTGGTAGTTAATGAAGAGCAGCATAACCAGAGCTGGACATGATGGTGGTCATGTATGGCATGGATTGGAAAAGGGAGACCAGAGACTGTTTAGTTTAGGAAGCTATTATAGTACCTTAGGTAAATGGACTAGGGTAGTGTGTTGGGGATGAAAAGGAGGGGACAGATTTTCCTGAGAGAACAGAGACATAAAATTTAGCAGTTTGCTTAGATGTTGGAGGTGGAGGAGTCAAAGATAAGAAGTTTGGATCTTTAGTGATAAGCATGATGGTATCATACATAGACATAGGAAATGGGATGGGTTTGAGGAAAGATGAATTCTGTTTTGGACACGTATAAAAGAAATTATTCCAAGCATAAAGGACTTACTCTCCTAGCCTTGGCCAGGACCTAGACATACCTGACATTGTTTATTTACATGGGGACTGTCACTCTAACAGATCTAAGGTCAAGACCTCTTAAGGAGCAAAGAAAACCTCATAGATACTGGTCTGCAGCTTCGTTAGTAAGTACTGTCTCCTTCCCACTCGGGGCAACGTTTTTGAGCTTTAGGTGTCAATTGCTGGCCTGTATCTTAGCAGAGGTTTGAGGCAGAGAGATAGAATTGTAAGTCAAGCCTAAAAACGATAGTTGAAGCTCTGGGAATGTCCAAGATTGCAGAGCAAGAATGAAGAGAGTCAGGGTCAGCTAGGTGGCACAGTGGATAGAGCACCAGCCCTGGAGTCAGGAGGACCTCAGTTCAAATCTGGCCTCAGACATATAACATTCACTAGCTGTGTGACTCTGGGCAAGTCACTTAACCCCAATTGCCTTACCAAAAAAAAAAAAAGAAGAAGAGCAGGAACCTGAGGACAAAGCCTTGAAGAGCATCTGACATTTAGGGAGGTATGAAAGGATATAGAGGGAGAGATAGAATATAGTGTCACTGAAGTCAGGGGAGGCTGAGTGGCCAACAGTGACAAATGGAGACAGATCAAGCAGAAAGGGAACTGAGAAGCTGATGAATTGCCTAAAAGGAAAATTGTCGACCTTTGAGCAAATGGCTAGAAGCCAGTTGAGAAATGAGTGGGTGGGGAAGAAGTAGAGGTGATGAGTGTACTGCAGACTATTCTTACTAAAAGTCTGGCAACAAAGGGAAGGAGGTGAGATAATAGCAGGGTCAAGGGAAAGGTTTGGTTTGTTTTGAACTAGATTGAGGGCACACATGATATAGCAAGAAAGACAACTCTTCCTCTGAGTCCAGAGAGGAAGAGAAGAATGTCTGAGATAGCTTCTCAGTACAAAAAGTCAAGATCGTCCTACTGAGAATCAGGGGTTAGGATGGGGTGGATGGAGATTGGGGCTGGAAAAGAGTGAATCAAGTCGGAAACAGCCATTTGGGGATGTGTTAAGGAGGTGAAAAGAGGTAAAGAAAAGGCTAGCCTTGCAGGAGTGGGCCTCTGTGTTCCAGCCAGGGAGCTAGAGTCTGAGGCAAGGGACAAGCTGGAACACCGAAGGGCACAGGACACTTCATTTTTTTCATGGTAAGGGACAAAAGCACCTAAAGCAAACTACTCTTTTAATACGTGCTGCCCCCCCACCCTCCCAGCTTCAAAGGGAAAACTGGCCATTGCTGAGAAATGAAGCCGGTTTGAGACAATATGGAGAGGGATAAATGCAGAGGTCAGGAGGGAAGCTTTATTATCATTTATGAATAATTTAAAAAGAAAAAAGTCTAACATGTTCAGCTGGTGGCTCAATCAGACACTGTACACAATTTATACATATGAGGGGAAAGTTAAAATCCTGAGGAGGTCCTAAGGAAGAGTCTCATTCGTCAGAGTCCAAGTCACTGTCTCCAGGAAGTGAGTGGCAATCCTCACTGTCATCCTCATCCTCAGACAGACGAACTTGACTGAGGACACTTGGCCCACCTCGCTGCTCTTCTTCCTCTTCCTCTTCCTCCTCTGATACATCATATCCACCTATGCTGCTAAAACTTGTATCTCGAGTATTTGCTTTGGGGTCAGGCTCCTCATAGCTCCCATAACTGAGGAGATAAAGTCATGGGCTCATGTAAATTCTTCAACTCAGGGGATGTCCTCACCCTCCCACTTTTCTACCCTCAGATGAGCAAAGTGACCTCCCCTGGAGACCCAAAATGCCTGACCTGACCAGCCCTGCCTGCCAGAACCCATTCATAACATTTGGAGACTTCATGGACAAGGAGCTGGGAGAGAAGAGATCACAGGTAGGACACTGTGGTACAAAGGACTCCTCCTTGTTCTCCCTTTTTGCTGCTGCTACCTATTACCTGATGTTGCTGTCCTCCATCCCGTGAGAGGCCTCACCAGCATCTCCTTCATAGGACATCATGCTCTCCTCATTATCCATGCCCATTCTTGTGTTCTCTTGCAGCACATGGGGCTGTTTAGGCCTCATTCCACCAGATTCCATGTCAGAGTCACTGCCACTCTCACTCAGTTGGATAGCTGTACAAATGGAAAGGCAGTGGTTCACTGGCCCATATCTACCCAACCCTGTTTCCCATGCCTTGGCAGAATAAGCTTGACAGAAGCACTTCTTCTCTAGCTAGGCCTAGGGCCTCTCCAAAACAATTATTCAAAGACAACTTGTTTGCATTTCTTCCTTTGTGGCTCTTCTGCGCTAGGCTCCTGGTAGACAACTGCAGGATCTGAAGTTTGAAAATAGGAGTTGAATTTATTTCCTTTCCCCTCCCCAAGCCAGTGTCCCTCTTCTACCATTGTCAACATATCTTCTTTGAATCCCTTTGCCACACTGGACATACCAAATTAGGCTTATCTAGCCCCCCTTTTTGCCCCTGCCATTCTTAGCACCTCTTCTGCAGAATCTTCTCCCAGACTGCCGCAAGTTATCTAATGATGCACGACTTGGTTGAGCACCGCAAGGAAAAGAGACGACGTCTGGTCAACAGCTTTCAGTGTGGCTCAGCCAGATGGGAACAGACCAAGACTTACAGGAAAAAGGATTATCTCCTTCTTCATCGCTCCCGGCATCTTCCTCCTCATCCTCTACGTCGGACATAAGCAGATCTTCATACAAGACGCTAGACTGAGGCTGCTGTGCAGCCCCTTCCTCTTCATCTGCAAGGTCACCATCCCCATCTTCTTCCTATAGCACACAGACAGACCAAAAAATACCCACTAAGGGACACAAGTGATAGGGCAGAAGCCACCAACTTTATGTACCATCTCAGAAAGAGCTACTCTGTCTTATGATCTGGGTTTGGCTCGCTGCTGTCACTTTGCAGGTCAGCTTGCCCTGCGCTGACGGAACCCCTCTCATAAGGATACAAGTGCTCAGAGGCTTTCTATAAGTATACTCACTGGGGCTGGAGTCTTAGGTTTCCCATCCTCCTCCTCCTCCTCAAACCTTTCAATATCTACATCAGAGTCTTCCTCGCCCAGCCTACCTCGGCCCTGGTACATCTGAATAAGGAACACAAATAGCATACCATTGAGTGGGGTGCCAGCAGAAAGAGTGGTCACCCAGAGCAGGTGCTCATCGGTAGAACAGCCAGCCAACCCCAGTACTGGTGGAGGCTGTTCAGAGAGCTTAGGGTCTGTGAACTTTTCCCTGAATTCCTTCTCTAGGATAGATCCCCAAGTATAGAGTGAGACCCCAAAATACAAGAGGGTATCTAGTCCATTTCTACTACTTCTTCCTCTGTAATGTTAGGGAGAACTTCCTTTTTAATCATAGGCTTTCTTTAGGCTGAATTATCCAGCTCAAGACAGATGACCAAGGAGTCCTCTTGGGCTTCTCATCCCTTTCACTGTGGACCCCTAAAGAAAGCTAGAAGAATTCCTGGCCTCCTGCCACCTAGAGAGAATATTTTTCAGTCAGCTCCTGAAATTAGTTGGGTCTTTCCTGAGTCTCTTCTTCTCTAAGAAAAAAATCAAACTATAGTGTTTCCTTGGAGCCACCCATCAGGTTACCCTGACATAATCAGACACTTTTCACAAACCCAAACATTACTTGCACTTCTGCTGTGGTATTCTTATGGGACCTAGGACCCAAAGGCCATTACCTGACTCTGTCAATGTAGAAGTTAGTCATGTGACCTGCCACTTTTTTTGTCCACATTTCAGGCCTTCTTTGCAGAGAATCAAAGGGCTAGTGGCTTATCATGGCTAAGAACCCATTTCTAGAGGGGAACAATTCTCACCTGTACCCCCCGTTTCTCTGGGGTGGTAGTTGGTGTGTCCATGGCAGACATATTGCTTTCATCCTGGTATACTGAGGCATCTCGAGACATACTTAGGGATGTGTTCGTATCATAAAGGTCAGGAGGCTGTGGTACAAAACATATTCCTCAACATTTCTTTAGAAGGGGAAAGTAAGAAAAGTTTAGAGAACCTGACATTAGGAGCATTCTTAGAAGAAAAAGGCATAGCAGCCCAGTACTAAAAGGAAAAGCCAGGTTTGGAGGGATTTGTAAAGCTGCCAGGTCTCTGAGCCCGTTCTCACAGTAGTGCATCTATCTGATGCATGCCCAAAAGAGCAGAAGACAGGCAACGTCAGGGCTGGGGTCTAGCTTGTAATGTCGCCTCTTCGCTGCACTTTTTTCTAAGCCTTGTCTATTTCTTATAGGCCTGTAAGGTCAGCGGTAACTTATATGGCTGCCCCAAGAGATGAAGAAAATTTTGATATGGTATTTCAACCACAAGAAAGAATATGGAAGGGGTTTTGTGGACTGTTTTCTGTAGTACCAAAAACTAAAGGAACAGAAGGAAACTGGGACAGACTGAGAAAAAAGAACTCTTGATGGGATTTGGAAAGAGTTAAAAAAAATTCAGAAAAGAGTTTCTTTTAAAATATAACCAATAATCAGTAGAAACAAGTAAATCAATATAACTAATTTCTTTCTTTCTTTTGGAAGCAATCAGAGTTAAGTGACTTGTCCAGGGTCACACAGCTAGTAAGTGTCTGAGGCCAAATTTGAACTCAGGCCCTCCTGACTTCAGGGCCAGTCTTCTATGCACTGTGTCACCTAGCTGCCCCACCAGTTTCTTTTAAAGTATAACCAAGCTTCTCAAAACTACATCAGAAACTTAAAATAACTCTTTAAAAGCCTACAGAAAGAGAGCCAACATCACTCTGCTAATTCCTACCCTCAAAGTATGCCAGCCTCCTGGCATTACAGCTTAGCTAAGTATAGCCGAGGATGAGTCAAAGTAGGGAGGCAGACAGCTCTGTGTAAGAGGAGTGGATCACCTTCATCTTCATGTGATAGAGGCAACGTTCGAGCTACCCAGGTCTCATGATGATATAAAAGCCAAGTGTAAAGTCAGTTCTCTGAGAAGGGGGATGGGCAGCCAGGAGACCCATAGGGCTCAAGAGCAGCATGGCCTAGCCCTATAGCCACCAGGGTCCTCTGCTCAGAAAAGGTCCTGAGAAGGTCTTGAAGAAAATCCTCATAGGAAAGACCAGGAAATAACCCGATCCAAGAACAAAAAAGTACCAGAGAATCTTGAGGGTGTAGGTACACCAGAGGAAAAGCTCTGGCCCCAGCAGCCTCCAATAATACATATCAGAAAGCAGTGCCCTCTCTACCCACTAGCCCCATGGCTGCCCTCTTCAGAATTCAGCAAGATCACCACCAACCAAAGACTCGTGTAGCTTGGCCTTGAAGACAAAACATGGGAGCATGTGGGAAAGGGATTGAGTCAAAGGCCAGTTCAGAATCCAGTGCTCACAATTTTCTGCAACAGGAAAAACCTACACAGGAGATTCCTGGGCCTCACTCACCTGAGGAGTATAAGGCCCAGGGGTCATTGGATCTAGACTTTCCAAGTCGGCCTCTTCCAAAGCTGCTTCCTTAGCTGTACATATGTCTTTCTCAAGCTGAGTCAGGTGTTCATCATACTGGGAAAACAACCAAAATGTAATTAAGTACCACAAGAATGTAGGACATTTTTTCAAGCTGGGTCCCAGGGAAGCAAATTTTGCCACCTACCTCAGCCAAAGTCTGGTGACAGATGTTCACAATCTCCTGAGCAGTTTTGGTGTACTGACTATCGGAGCCTGTAACAAAAAAGGAAAAAGCCATCACCTTGGCTGCCATCAGTTCTGTAGCTCTCCATGCTGTCATTTCACCACCAGAATAGTGTCATTATCTTAGTACCCTTGGCCACGAACTGCTTTTGTGACCCTGGGCAAGTCACTTCTCTCAGGGCCTCACTTTCCTCCTCTGCAAAAAAAAGAAGCTGGACTAAGGGACTCCAGGGGTCCCTCCAGCTCTGACCTTAGGAGCCTCTGATCTCAAGCCTGGCATTTAGCTTCATTATTTGGAGGTGCTTACATAACAAAATTCTCCATTTGAATGTAGATGCTTCCCATTGCCCTGTATAAAAGGATGGAATATCTGACTGAAATGATCATTATTGCATTGGTCTCCAATATTTACCAGAGCATGAAGCAGAGTGAGATGGTCTGTGTTTGTGAACCTCTAATCCTGTAGCCACACTGCATACAAACTTCTTTGAGAACAGAATGGCCTATTTAAGGTATCGGCCCTCTCAGAGATTCACTGAAACGTGTCCATTGGAGGTCTGTCCTCACACAAACCCAAAGAACGGAGGACAATGCCATCAGTTCCCAAGTCAATGATTCCCCAGTGCCAATAGAGCCAGAATCCAAAGTCAGACCAGGAACACTCCAAGTAAATGAGAAGAGAAGCTTCATGATTCAGGAAATCTGCAGAGTCCTAATCTCTTGTGGCCTTATTCCATTCTTCCAGGGGGAGGGTAAGAGAGAATGACAGTTAAGAGACACTGTTTCCCATCGACAGGGACAGACTACTACAGTTAACGGCTGGGGTTTCCACAGGTCAGAGCAGCCACGAGGCTCTCGAAATGTACTCTCTACTACTTAAGGGAGTGAATCTGTGGCCAGCGAGAGGGGAAATCCTGACTCTACCCAGATCTCCACCTCTCAGTAGCTCAAGTCCCTCACTTCTAACATGGGAATGAATAAACGTGTTTGGACACAGCTTGCCAAATCCTTTCCTACTACTAAAATGCCACCTCCTCCAAGAAGCCCTCTCTAATTGGAAATGAGGTGGGAAGATTTCTCTTCTATCCCTATCCCCCTAGACATGCAATTCCTAGGACTTTACTTACCTTTAAAAAAAAGAACATAAAAGGAGCCAGAGCATGATCTTTTGAAAAATGTTGGCTCCAGGATTCAGGGTCTGTCTCAGACACATACTAGCTGTGTCACTGTAGACAAGTCACTTAGCCTCCCAAGACAACTTCCTAAAACTAAATTGTACAAAAAAGGTGCCTGCCCATTTACAATGGTGGGTGTTTCCTGAAAGAGTTTTCTCTGTCAATGAAAACAGGTCCGGACCATTGTTTTTAAAATTACTATAAGATATAAATTTCTTGTGATTAGGGGTTTTTTTTTTAACATAATTCCCTTTCATTTCTCTTGGCACAAAATGACATGAAGTGGCTTTTTTTGGCAAGAGTAGCCTTTTTACAGCAACACTGTACTTCATTTGGTTAAAGTGACCTTCCTTCAAGTCTGAGTGGAGTTAAAAATCAGTTTGTTTAGAATGTTTCTCATCCTACAGGCTATGGAAAAGGATGTTACATTGGTGAAAACTTTATCCATTTTAGGTTTTAAGATTAAGTTGCTGTTTTATAATCTTTGTGAGGAAAATGTGGCTCCTTGTGCCTGCTCTATGAATGAAAGAGGAAGGCAACGTGGTCTGGTGGTCTGATGGATTTAAGTGCTGGATTTGAAGTCCAAGGACCTCAGTTCAAATCCTAGCTGTACCATTTGCTCCCTGGGTGACCTTGGACTAGTCTCTAGGTTCCTTTTCCCTCATGATGGTGTTAAGGGCCCTTTTATTTTTCAGAGATTACGTGTTAATTTGTAGTACTGCTCTATTCCTTTAGACTACTGGGTAATTCGCTTGATGTCCATCCTTTAATAGGCTTCATAATTACTTCTCAGAGCTATGGATGTCAGAGAAGCAGACAGGGCAGCAGGATGTTCTTGTCTCTTCCCCTTCAAAGGAAAAAACTGGCACAAGAAAGTGAGCTGTGTAATGTCTTATTTCTTCATGAAAGTTGTACTCCCGAGCCTCTTGGTGGCATGGAGGGGACCCTGGGCTCTCAAAGGGCTTGAAGGCAGAGGCCTAGTATGCCTGAAGACCAACAGAAGGGCCTGAAGAAGCACAGAGAGGCTCATCACCAGACAGTTGGCCATATGGGAGGGAGGGGCATGGTTTTTTTTTCCCTCAAAACAATAAAACCATCCACTAAGATTGTAATAAGGAAAAGTTACACTCTACACTAGCAGGCAGCTAAGTGATATAGTGAATATAGTGCTGGACCTGAAGGTAAGAAAACATGAGTTTGAATCCTGCCTCCGACTCTTTCTAGCAAGTCTCTCAACCTCTGTGCCTCAGTTTCCTTATCGGTAAAATCAGGATAACAGTACCAGCCTCAAATGAGATAATGCATAACGTACCACACTGCCAACTTGTGTTAGTGAGCAGTAACAGGAGAGCTCACTGATGAAGTCAGGATCTTTGTGCTTGGCCTGCATAGAGTTCCTAGCCATCCCAAATTTGGGGGATGGGAGTGTCCCTACTGGATGTCCTAAGAACTTGAGCTCCCACATTTTAGGGAAGCACCCCCATTTCTTGAGACTCTCTGGGAAAAAGTTCAGGAGAGAATTGTGATGTTTCCATAAGCCCTGCGAACAGAGAGCTATGATGCCTTCAGAAGCAGAGCCCTTGCCAAGAATGGTTCACACACCTCAGAGCTACCTATTGGTTTGGACTGGTGGCCTTCACTCTATAGTGGTTGTCTCTGTACCCACAGACTCAATGTAATGGAAGCTCCCTGAGGGCAGGGACTGTTTCCTTTTTGGTCTTTGTATCCCCAGGGCATAGCGCAGAGCCTAGCACATAGTAGGCACTTCACAAATGCTTTCTTAATTATGCTTAATTGGTAGAGCATGCAATGACTGCTGATCTTTCACTGATGAACTGGATACTTGGAGTTAACAAAAAACTGCTAAAGAACTGACGATTCCCATGTGAAATTGGAAGGAGAACAGAAAGAAGAAGGTATAGCACAATGGCAGGGATGGATTCTTTCTCTGCTTCCTAACCAGGTTTAGAATCTGAGGGGCTACTGGACACAGTTGAAGCCAACTTGTGAGTTTAACACCCCTGATGACTTTTGGAAAAACTGTCCATGCTGTGACGAGCTCGACTTGGTGTGGATGCGCTGATGGGGGGGGGGGAAGGGTACTTACTCAACTATCGTCATCAGGATTCCAACCTCTGCCTCCAGCACACCCAGCTACAAAAAGGATTCCTGTGAGGTACAGCTCCCTTTTTGGCTGGATTCCTGAAGGAGGGATTACTAACCTTTCATTAGTTTTATTCAATTGATTATTAACTACTCTTTCTAAAACCCCGTCAGAAATTGACCATGTACTAGGGCATAAAAACCTCACAATCCAATGCAGAAAGGCAGAAATATTAAATGCATCCTTTTCAGATCATGATGCAATAAAAATTATATGTGTGTGTGTGTGTGTATATATATGTATATATATATATATACATATATGGCCATGGAAAGATAGACTAAAAAATAATTGGGAACTAAAACCCCGTCAGATATCTGACCACCACAAGGCATGCTCGCAGAAGGCAGTATAAGAAAATGCCCCAAAGTAGTCTAGGGGAGGCTGAAATCCTAGCTAGGGGGGCTGGAGAGAATAAAGAGCAAACAGCAGGAACTCGAATGTTGGCCATACATGGCATTATTATTAGCTTCTGGTTTCTGACTTACAAAGTTACCACACTGGGCTGACTTTAAGTCACACCTGTTAAAACATCTATGGAAGTTAACAAAAAAGCACAGTGAAACATCACTGGGCTCATACAGACGAGATGGGGTGTGAGGAAGGAAGGTAACAGTGAAGCTCGCTTCCCAGAGGACTCGTGATTGCTGACTGAATAAGGTAGATTAAGATGTATAGAATGGAGGCAGCTAGGTGGCGCAGTGGATAGAGCACCAGCCCTGGAGTCAGGAGGACCTGAGTTCATATCTGGTCTCAGACACTTGACACAGTGACCCTGAGCAAGTCACTTAACCCCAACTGCCTTGCCAAAAAAAAAAAATGTATAGAATGGCTGCTTTCCTGGGTCTTTAGGCAGAGTGGCAGCACTAGCAAATGGAACTTTTAATCCAATAAGTTACTTTCAATATGTTGCCTGTCAGTAGGGAAATCTCTCATTTGTCCCGTTAGCTCTTATCCAGAATCTTCAACTCTGAGATGCACTTGAGAGCATCTTCCCTGGCCTTTTTTACGGGCATCTGTTTATGAATAGATGTGGAACAAGATAGCTTTGAGAGTGCCTAAAATAGGTATTCAGAGTACAGCAGATGACTCCTTTTTACCCTTGGCAGACTTCTCTAGCCCTGCTCTGCAGTAACCGTTACCTAAGGGTTGAGTCACAATTAAGATGAGGCAGCCACACCAGCCCCACATAGTTGGACTAGTCCACTCTCCTGCTCTATCCAATTACATATTTCATGGGAGTCCTGAGTGTGTCTCTCTGAACTTCTCATCCCCAGGTTCAGAAGTGACCTCAGATGACGCTGAGGCTGTGCCCCAAAGAACCATTCTGATTTCTGCTTTTCACTAAGCAAGACAAGTGTCCAGGAGAAAACACATTCCTGTGTCAGCCGGAAACAAGATTATGTTGTTCTGCTGAGCAAAGAGTCACCCTCTCAGAGGGGACTGGGGCTCTGCCTATCTCTAGCAACAAGAGATCTGAGAGCAGCTGGGTCTTCCCAGCTCATGGGAGAGCCCCTAGAAACACTCACCATTGTACTTGATACTGTTGGCTAGGATAAGGTTTACATCATCCAGAAAGGCATCGCGATTCTGATACTTGTGCTTAGAAATGTTCTGTAATTAGAAGAGCCAAGCACTTAGATCCAAAGTTACAAGCAGGAAGTTCCAAAGGGATCATGCCAACTCAAACCCCTCACCTTTCGGATGGTTTCCAAGTCCATTGGACTGACAATCACTTTATAATAATCTGGAACAAACTTCTTATTCACCGGGTGATGAAATGGCCAAGACTAGAGGAAAGAGAAAAATGAGTAACTCAAAGCAACCTTCTACTTTACAACATTAGCTCTTCTGCCCTCATCTTGACCACCCCTCCATTCAAGTTCACATGAGAAAACCATCCTCCAGCTTAGCTCAGGATTTCTGAAGAGCAGATGCTTAGAATTAACAGCCCTACAAGCTAAGAGGCACAAAGGGGTGGGGGGGAACCCTAGTTCATCAGTACCAGAGCGGTGTGTGACAAAGGAGCTCTCAAGTGGAAGTCTCTCCATCTTACCAGGGGCATTCACCTGCTACTAACCATTACAAATTGCCAATGCAAGACTACTGAAAGGCTCTGTGCCTCAGAGAGGGCCACCGTGTGTCCTCCACTCACACGCCACCTACATTCCAAGAGATCCAGAAGAATTATGGAATCTTAGCATTCAAAGGGACTGCCTGAAGTAAGAACGAACAACATCCCTGCTAGGGGGTAATGCAGCTTCCTGAACACTTGCAGTGACAGGGACCTCACTACAACACAAGGCAGCTGGCTCTACTATTGAACAGCTATAACTATTTGGCTTCATATACCAAGACAAAATTTTCCTTCCGTGTAACTTCCACTCATTGGTAGGGCCAAAGAATAATTCTGCTGTTTCTTCGAAATAACAACCCTTCATATATTTGAAGACAGGTAGTATTTCACCTGTCAGTCTTCTCTTCTTCAAAACAAGGATTCTCACTTTCTTAACCTTGTCCGAGTTGAACATGGTTTCATGCCCCCTTACCAAACTGTCCCCTTCTGGGCATGCACCAGCTTATCAATGCCCCTCATAACATGTGCTGATCAAAACCAAACCTAGTACTCCAGATGTGGGCTATCATAGCTCTAGTTCTAGTTCACCTAAGGTCATGTCAAAAGGTATTTGACAGCCACATCAGGCCCTTGGCATCTCCTGTTTAGAAAATTCTAGTAGCCTCCTAAAATAGTTTCCTTTCCTTCTCATTTTCTCCTGTATACACTTCTGCCAAAATAATCTAAAGGCCCAGTTCTGGCTCCCTAAAAAGAAAAAAAAAACCAGTGGATGCCTCTCGCCTCTAAAACAAAAAGAAATACAAACTGGCATGTAAGGCCCACCACCAACTGGCTCCAAGCAGCCTTTCTAGTCTTGTCTCACATTATACTCCCTTAAACACACTCTGTTCCAGTTGTATCCCCAAACTTGGCATGGCATCTCCCACATTCCCTGAGGTCACACCAGCCTGGAATGATTCCCTCTTCATAGACACCTTTTGGAATCTCTCTTATCCTTCAAGGCTCAGCTTGGATGCCATCTCCTCCAGGTAGTCTTCCTCGATTCCCCCATCTGAAAATGTTCTTCTCCTCAAATTTTACTAGAGAATTGTGTCCAGAACTTTCCTTTAGACCCATCATACTTATCTCAGTAGAATGAGTGATCATGCCATTTTGAAATTTTTGCATCTTATGAATCCTGTAGTCAACTGAAAACCTGTAGATCTTTTTCATGAGAACATTTTGACCCTTTTCCCCCATCCTATACCTGTATAGTTGATTTTTTAAAAAGCAAAGTGCAGGACGATATTAATGGGCTATTCAAGTCCATCTTTCAGTCCATAATTCTAGTCTCAGATACCTTTTGGATTCTGATTCTGTCATTTTATGAGCTACTTCTTCCAGCTTCATGTCATATACAAATGTATAAGCAGTCCATCTATGCTGACATCTATGTGAAGCAACATGATGTAGTAGAGTCAGGAAGACCTAGGCTTGAATCCTGCCTCAGACACTTACTAGCTGTGTGACTCTGGGCAAGTCATGTTACCTCTTGGGGCCTCAATTTCTTCATCTGTAAAATCAGAAGACTAGATAGATCTGATGACTTCTAGGGAACCTTTCACCTCTAAGTGAGTGACGGACATATTGAACAGAATGGCAGCACTCTTCCCATGTCTACGACCACTGATCTTTGTTTCCAGCCCAGCCCTCATGCAGGGAAACAGCTCCTATAGAGAAGGGGCCAGCCACCTCCACCAACTGTCACCTACAGAGCAAGTTAGCTAGCCTACCTAAAGCGGCCAGGCACTTTGAGAAAGGGACAGTAGGTACCATGTGCCAAGCAAAGCAAACCACCACCTTGACCACCATCAGACCCTGATGGAGACAGCCAAGGACCATAAACCCCAAAGCTTTGGGAAGAGCAATGCTTCCAGCCCTGTGCCCGCAGCCATCCTCCTGGGAAGCAAACCCTGGGCAGATGCAGCCTGGGGACTGACTGTTCCCACAGGAGCTACAGACACAGCTACCAGAAGACCCAAAAAGGAAAGACCTGGCCACCACAATCCTTGGCCCTATCCAACGGCTCAGCAGCAGAGACTGAGATGATTTTATCAGTGAAAATGACATTAGAGAAGAGGCCTGAACACCTGCTTTGCCACTCCACCCTAAGGACCATGGGGACCTTTATTTCCATCTGACTTGAAGCTGAAACCTTCCCTGTTAGAATGGGAGCTCCTTGAGGGCAGGGACTGTCTGACTTTTCTCTTTGCATCCCCAGTTCTTAGCACAGGGCTTGACACAGAGGGAGCACATCATACATGCACTCATCTCTCCCCAGGCTGATGGCACACTGCTTCTCCTCATAGCCTTTACATTTCCATACTCAACATTCCATCTGCCACCTGTGTGCCAATGCACAGGCTGTGCCCCAAGGCTGGAACACTCTCTACCCTTACCTCTGCCTTTCAGAACCACTAATTCCCTTGAGGGCTTAACTGAAGAGGCCTTTCCTCATTCCCCTGGACATTAGTCCCCACTCCATCCCCTCCACTCTCAGAAGTGACCTTTTAGTTTCTTGCTGTTTATTTTGCATATATCTCATATTTACTTATCTGCATACATGTTGCTTCCCCCAGTAAAATACAAGGTTTTTGAGGGCAGTTTGTCTTTATTTTCCTAGCACAGTGCCTGGCACACAGTAGGGGGTTTAACAATTGTTTGTTGAATTGAATGGGGCTGAAGACACAGCCATGTTATGTAGCACACCACTAGAAACTTCCTTCCAGGTTGAACTCAATCGGTTCCCGAATCCATCTAACTGTGCTCTTATCCAGTTACCTCTGCCTCTTCTGGTTTGGGTGAGGTCGTTGGGCCAATGTTCTAATCATCTTTCTGACTGAATCAACCTCACACACACACCCGTGTGCAACAAGGACTGTAGCCCCTGATCCCTGCCCAGAACAGAGGCCACCTACGTCTGGAACCACCATCATCTTCTGGGTGACGATGTTGTCCAGAATGAAAGAGAATGCCACCTGGTCATCATCATCCAACAAGGGGTTAATGGCCTTCTCTAAGCGGGCCAGTTTATCTTCTTTCTGAAACGAAAGTTATCGGGATGTCCGCAATAGTGACGGTTCGGGTGTGCAGCCTGCTTGCTCTCATCCTCATTCAGTTACCACAGCACCTGCTGACTTCTGATATTCGTGGTCCCTGTCCTTCCCTCTCCCCTCTCACACCTTCCCTCCCCTCCCACCCCTTTGGCTTCTTGCATACAAATCCCATTGCCCCACCCTCATTCTGAAAGACATGGAACAACAGCGGCCTACCTCTTTCAGTTTTTCATCACAGAGATCCAGCATCGACTGAGAGATCTGAGTCAATGAATGCTTTGGTCCTACAATCATACCAGGAGATTTAGAAGAGTCAAGACCATTACCGAACAGGAGCCAGAAGCTGCTACCACCCTGAGGTTTTTCTCAACTCTAAATTCTCTTGTTTCCCTCTCCCCTTCCCCTACCCATTAAGGAAGAAAAATAAAACCCCTCACAAATATGTAGACAGGCAAAACCTTTCCCCATTAGCACACAGCCTGGTTTCTACCTTAACTTCTCTCACTATGACAGGAAGGCAATACCACGAGTCGTGGTTATGGGTGTGTGAATGGGTAGCGCTGAAAGACACTGGGAGCGTTTCTTCCACAGAGGACGTGCAGTTTGTGGCTGGAGCTCCTGCTGACACAGCCTGGCAATGTGTGTGATGCTCAGCCTTGTGACTTATTTAAAGTCCTTCCTTCCTCCCATCCTACATACTGACCTGGCCTGAGCAGGGGATCTTAACCTGGGGTCTGTGAACTTGGGTTTTATTTTTTTTAATATTCTGATAATGGTATATCAATAGAATTGATTTCCTTTGTAATCCTATGTATTTCATGCATTTAAAAACATGCTTGTGAGGAGTCTACTGGTTTCTTCACCAGACTGGCCAAGGGGTCCATGACACAAGCAAGGTCAAGAACCCCTGGTCTAGATCAGGACTTCTTAAACTTTTTCCACTCAAGACCCCTTCAGTGCTTCTTAAACTGTGGGTCATGACCTCATATGAAGTCTCGACCCCACAATTTAAGAAGTGCTGGTCTAGATGCTACTGTGGTTCCAAATTATTCACAGAAGTGTCTACCAGCTTAAAGCTGGGCTTCAGAATATCCCTGAATTAATTACTTTGTACTCTGATCTTGGTAATCCCACTTTAGCACACCACACCCAAACTAGTCAGCTTGCTTGTCACCCACTCTTTGAAAAGACCTAGCCCAATGAATATCACTTGATTCAAGTCATAGTTGCTCTTCCTGTCTTGCCATTTCATGGTCAGTAGAGTTTTGTGTGAAACTAACCAAGAAGGTGGGTAGGATGGCAGTGGCACATCTGCTCTCATAGTAGTAGTATGCGGTTCTGGCACTGTCTCCTCATAACAGGTAAGGTAGGTACACTAGTAGAGAATTAAGGATAAACAAGGGTCCGGGTAGACCTTCCCTAGTTGTCCTGTTGGCACCACACAGTGAAGCTGAATCTCTAGCATTGATGCTTCTCTCTTGTCTCGATCTCCCATTTCCTTCTTGGTCATGGTGATGCTATATCATGCCACCTTAGTAGCAACACTCGATGCTAGTTTTCAAATCTGTAATAAACAACCTGATTTTATATATAAGAGCTCTTAGTTACAAGCTCACAAGTGACTTTACTTGTCATCAGGATTATCAATGGACTCTATGGTTCACTGTGCTAGCTCTGCAAAATAGTCCTTAACATTCTAGGGGCTTTTCTGAATGGGTACATGTATTTCAAAAGAGTCCACAGCACCCAGGAGCTGTTGAATGAAGTATCTCAAAGAACTTATTCTTTTATGCATAATAACCCCCTAAAGTCTGTGTGAAGACAGAGTCAATGAATTCTACAAGGCACACAGGACCAGAGATAAAATGTATCAGTCACCTTCATAGTGACTGCCTCCTACTTCCAAGGCCTTAGGCCAGATTAACTTGGCTACCCTAAAAGTTTTTGGGTGTACTGGATATTTTTTTGGTCTAGACCTGTAATTTCATACTGGCAAATTCCCAGTACAGAAATGCCTTCCACCAATGTAGTTCAGCAACTTGTCTATAACTTATTATCTTTCTTTCTTTCTTTCAGGCAATTGGGGTTAAGTGACTTGCCCAGGGTCACACAGCTAGTAAGTTTCAAGTGGTTGGTCTGAGGCCGAATTTGAACTCAAGTCCTCCTGACTTCAGGGCTGGTGCTCTATCTACTGCACCACCTAGATGCCCCCTAACTTATTATTTTGAGAGTTGACTGGTGTCTTGAGAGGGTACTCCATCCCAAAACTCAGGTCTTTGTGATCCTAAGGCTCACCCTCTATCCACTCTGCCATGCTGCCTCCCTACCCTAAAGCAATATTGAACATATCATAGTACACTAAAAGCACCAGTCTCAGTCTCATGACTCTCAGTTCGCTGAGATTTGGGTCTGGGACCACCTTCTGCGTGTACAAGATTAGACCAGCTGACCTCACAAGGTCCTATCCAGCCAAGGAGTTAGTGTTTCTTACCGTTGTACGTCGCACTGTTTTTCACAATCAGTTCCAAGTGCTCTCTGAATTCCTCCCGGGATGGGTAGAGGCGCTTACGGACATTTTCACGGAGTGTTTGCAGGTCCATGGGCCGAGTGATAATTTTATAGTAGTCCTTCACAACTTTTGCATTCACTGGTGTATGGAAAGGATAAGTCTGTGCAAATGAGAACCAGCCATTCAGTTCAACAACATTTAGGCACTGACTATGCAAAAGACAAAATAAGAAACAACTGCTGCCCTCAAGATCAGTTGAGAAGGGGCAGCCAGGTGGCACAGTGGCTAGAGCACTGGCCCTGGAGTCAGGAAGACCTGAGTTCAAATCCGGCCTCAGACATATGAAACTCACGAGCTGTGTGACTCTGGGCAAGTCACTTAACCCTGCTGCCTAGCCTAAATAAATAAATAAATGGAAGAGGCTGTGCTAAACACAAAACAAAGAGTGAGACAAAATGTTAGGAGAAATTTGAGGAGAGGGGGAAAGAGATGGAGAGAGCCAGAGATTTGAACAGCATGGACGGTGGGGCAAGGGGAAGATGAGGTAAGCGTCCATGAAAAAGGGAGCATCTGAGCTGATCCTTAAAATAAGGCAAGGAGATGGGGGAAGAGTCAAGCTTTTTCAGACAAGGAAGACAACACGAGGAAAGGCATAGGGACAAGAGAGCCAGAACAAGAAGGTTGGCAAGAGAGTTAGAGCCACATGTGGAGGGCCTTGAACACCAGACTTTGGAGTTTCCACTTTGCCTATTGAATAATGTGGAGCTAATGAAGGCAAGTAGAAGATCTTAACAGGACCTCAGCAATGCAATGGAAGCCTAGAGAAAAGACCAATCAGGAGACTGTTACAACAGTCCTGTCAAAAGGCAATGACGACCTGATCCAATGGAAAGAAGCAGTGGATATGAGAAAGATGCAAGGGGGTCTTGGACTGAACTCTGCCCTAAAGTCTCTCCCGTACCCTAGAAGCCTAATCACCACCAATTTTCAAAGGAACCCTTCCAGAGGGAGCAGGCCTGGATAATACCTCCCGCCAAAACAAACTGCTGACAGAACCACATGCCAACAGTGAGAATGAGATCTTCCCACACCATCCTCCCCCTGGCCAATTTAACCAACTTCTTAAGGGGGTCTGATGTTTTTAAAGCCACTTGATTCTGTACCTGCAAAAACATGGAATATCCATATTCATTTATGGCACTTTATAGCAACCAATAGCTACAAGCATCCACTCTCCACACAAGGTCACACAGAAGAATGGGCTTTGCCATCTTTAGTCTAGTAAATACAAAGTACTCACGTTGGGAAGATCTCTCATGTCATTGATGATGGACTCCAGGATAGATGATAATGTCACCATAGGATCTGTCCGTCGTCGATGGATAGACTTGTGGGGTCGCTGGAAGTCAAAAGGTAGGAAGACAGATACAACTATGCCCCTCTGGGAAAGCAAACCCAGCAACAGTGTGACTGAGTAAGGTATTCCTTCCAGCCCAGCCTGAAGGGTCAAGTCTAAAGCAAGGGTTAGAGAGCTAGAGGGTCAGTGAGAAGCACAGAAAAAGGAACAGAGGGACTCACATTCAAATAATCACAATGAACAGTAGTCCCAACTCGGCGTTTCTTCTTGGGAGGAAGTTGCTGTTTAGGGAACTTGAGAACCAGCGATTTCCTTCTAACCTCATCTGCACTATAAAAGACAATGCCAAAGAGTAGTACATAGGCCCACTGCTGGTACTCAGAGACCACTACCATTCCCTCAACCCCAAGAAAAGTTTCTGAAGTGCCTAAAAATGGTTCTGGGGTTGGGAAGATAACTTAAGTCAAAAGCTCTGCAGGCATCTTTCTTCCAAGGCTCAGCTCTGACAGGACCTCACAGTATCTGTAACTAAATACAAAAGAAACAGGGCAAATCACGGCCTCTCTAGGCCTCAGTTTCTTCATATGTAAAATAAAGGAGCTGAATCAGATGATCTCTACAGTTCTTTCCAACTCTAGAATCTACGGTTGTAACTTAGGGGAAAAAAGGCATGGCCACAGGCCTCAACCTGCATGGAAATAAGGGAGAAATCCAAGCTGATATTGGAAGTTCTCAAACCACATTCTTCCCCTACCCCAGTCAGGCAAGCCTCAACTCCCGCTCTCCTCCCATACATGACTTCTGCCAACTGGCTCAGGACTGCTCTTATTTCCCTTCCTACATATGGGCTCCACCTGGCAACATTTTGCAAAAGCTACAGAACTGTTCATATACTTTGAACCAGCAATTTTACTTTTGAGAATGCAGCCCGAGGAAAAAAGGCTATGTTGCACACAGAGCTTCACAAACAGTGTGAATTCTAACTAAAAAAAAAAAACTGGAAACAAACCCAAATACCCTCAAAAAGGGAAATGGTTAAGCAAACTACAGGGTATATGAACCCAAGGGTGCACCACACCCTAGCTTTGTCAGTATCAAGCATGTGGCACAACATGTGGTAGGAAATAAGACAAAATTTTAAAAAACCCAAGGATACATCCACATTGACTGCAGCCATGTTTTATATGGGTACATACACTAACAAAGTTCAGAAGGGAACTTGAGAGATGGTGTAACTAGTTTTGGATACTTAGGGTTTTCTATAAAGCTGCTGAAGTTGATAAAAAAAAGTTTAACTTAAAAAAAAATATATATATATATGTATATCGCTATAGATTTATGGCTGCTTCAGTTATCCCTCCATCTTGCTACGTGACTGGCCTACCTCCTTTTCCAACCATATATCTCCTGGATGAGATCTTTTATGCCACTTCTTGCTCGACAGTCATCATTAGTAATATGCTACAGCTTTCTTCAGAGATTGGAGTGTTCCATCATTCACAGCCATATAGTGTCACCAGAAAAACATTGGTGTTAAAAAGATGGGTGTTGTTTCAGGGAGAGCAAAGGATAACAGATGGACAGTCTTGAGTGCTGCCCTGGTACCCACAGAATATGAAGAGACCTCAAGGAAGGCCTCCCGTATGTTGGGTGGACCCCTACAGAGGGCACGGACAAGTCCCACAGAACAAGAAGGCATGACCAAGTTGTGGTCTGCAGGGAGTGTCTACATTGATGAGATCACAGGTTCATTTAAAAAAAAAAAAGGCCTGCTTCTCTGTGATATTTTTCATTCAATCCCTAAGGACAGAAGCCAGGTGGAGAAAGGCACCGGAGTTCCTTAACTATCCTGTCCTATTAGGAGGTGGGTAAGGGCACTGTGGGTAACTGTGAAATGTTTCAAATCACAGAAGGTTAGAGTTGGAAGGAACTCCTGAGATCATTAAATCCAACCCCTTCTTTTTACAGATGAGGAGATTGAAGCTCAGAAAAAGGAAGTGACAAGTTCAAGGTCAAAGGAAGCAGTAAATGATTAGCAGGCCCAGAGCTCCTGATCCCACGTCCACTCTTAACACCTGCCTCTCCTGGCATTTTTGTTAGGAAAGAGGCTCAACATAAAGAAGGGCAGGCAGCCGACCCCCACTGGTCACAGCCCTCCCAGCCCCTGCCCAGCCCCAACACTTGATAGGAACATACCACTGAACTCCAGGCACTTCCTGCTTTGCCACCCCTTACCTCTCGATCAGCTGCTTTCCCAAGACAATCTTGGTCCCTTCCACCTTGATAAGCTCTTCGTTATCATTAGGAATGACCGTTTTTTCCAACTCCTCCTCCTGTTCCTCTGTCATGGCAACAGGGTTGGAGGGTGGAGCGTTGGTTTGGTAATACAGAGGGCAGAACTTGTTTGTCCTCATGTGCCCAATGGCACCACAAGCGCCACATTTTAGCTGTGAAAAAGAAAGCTACACGTCAGAGGCGAACGGCTGCCATGTTTAGTGGCGCTGAGTGACAGACACAAAGCAAGTAAGAAACCAGGTACAGCCTCACATTCTCTGCCCTTGACCTGTGTCTATCTATCCCATCGTCCAAAGGCCCCTTGAGGAAAAACAGTCGTGCAGAATTGCACAAATAAAACTATACCTGAATCCGAAAAGACAACCAGTGAAAAGATGTCCATGCCAAGTATGAGCTACATGGAACTGGGAAGAAACTTCAAAAAAGGCAGGGAATAAACAGGGTATCAGAATATGGAGCTGCGCTCCTGGAAATGGGGAACATTAGTCTCCAGAAGGAAGGAGAAAGTAGAGACTCAATGGCGCTCCATATTTGCAACCAAGTCTGGCTTGAATGCCCTAAGTCTGCTTCACCTGTAAAATGGGGCTGGAAATTGAACCTCCCTAGAGGGCACCCAATACAAATGTAAATGTGTGTGTGTGTACACATATACATACATATATATATATATATATATATATATATACATACATATATATATATACACATATATATATATATACATATATATATATACACACACACACACACACAAACATATTACATACAACTCCTATTACACAATACATGTATGCACGCATATATGTGCATACACATACACATGTACACACACACACACACACACACATAATGTACACATATACACACACAACTAGCAAATGTCTGAGGCAGAATTTGAACTCAGGTCTTCCTGACTTCAAGTCCCACGCAGTATCTACTGGGCCACACATTACTGTTCTGGATGCTGACAGTTACCTTCAAGTCCGGACGTTCCTTCATTTTCTTGGGCTTCTTCTCAGGAGGACCCTTGAGCTTCTCCTTTTCCTGGTTCCGCTTGAGCCGCCTCAGCTGTTCCTGGATCCTTCGCCGTTCCTTCCGCATCTCTTCCCGGTGTTGCTCATCAAACAGGGCAAATTTCCGACTAAAATGAACACATTTCCAACACTATCAGCATCCCAATGACGGGAGAATCTACCCAAGTATAATGGGGCTTGTGAAAGCAATGATGGTAACATAATACAGGGCCTCATGCAAGCCTAGACACAGAACACCTCCCCTTCCACGGAAGCCTCTTCCATTCCCACACAGAGAAACTGTTGGTAAGAGGAACAAACATTCTCTCCTCATCCTAGGGAAGCTTAACACGTTCCCCAAGGGCCATCAAAGCAGCCAACCATCATTTTTAAAAAAATCCACAGATTAAATTGAAAATTTGACCTTCCCAAATTTAGTTTAGTTGCCCTCATCCCCAAGAAAATCCAGTGTAAATCAGAGCTCCCAAGGAAGTGAAGTAAAACTGAGTGACCAGGACTCCTAGCTCAAAATCAGCACTGTCCAACTTTTGCCACTGTAGCTGAAGGTCAAACTGAGGCCTGGTCCTGCAATGCCTTCCCTTTCTTATGGAAGGCCAGTCATGATCCACAGCAAGGCCGGGACCCAAACACTCACATGAATTCTTCATCCTTCGTTGTCCGTATGCGTACATAGGCATCGATGACAGCAGGCTTCCGCACAGTCTCACATCGGACATATTCCTTTCCATCCTCATCTCGAAAGGTACGGTAAATCTTAAGGCAGCGACCCGTGGCTGAGGAGTTAAGACTGGTCACAGAGGCTGTGTCATCGTCCTTGTGAGAGCCTCCAGAGCTCACTGTTGGTGAGAGAAATGGTCTTTCAAACCCTTCCCCTGTAACCCTGAGGAGCTAGCATCTTTTCTGCCCTGAGTGAAGACATATAATATGACAGCACAGAATGGTGGTTTGGAAGACAACATTCAAGGGAATGCAAGGGAAACAAGAGGTTTTGTTCATCGCAACGTCAGTCCACCACACTCACCGAGCTCCCTTCCCTGGCCACCCTCGTGCTATTGGCGCACCTAGGCTGCTTTCAAGCCAACGTCAACTATTGGAGATGGTAAGTTCCCATCATTCCCAATGGGGGGGGGGGTGTCTCTCTGTCTCTCTGATTTTTCCTTTACTGAGCTTCAGAGTCCAATCCACCTTTTTACCAACCTTCTGGCTTCTCTAATCTCATCCCCCACTTTCCTGTTGCGCCACACTCTGCCGCACATCATGTTGTGTTACGTACACAGTCCCTTTTTGTCCTTCTTCTCTTTCTTGCCCGTTTCCTTGTCATTGGCACCTTCCTCACCCAGTAGCATTCGTTGTAATTCCTTCCGCTCTTGCTCCTCCCGCTCCCTCGACAGCTGAGAACTGGTTTTCTTGTTCTGCAGCATATTCTCAATGTTCTTTCCCATTTCTTCAAAGTCGCTGTCCTCAGCCGAGCTGCTGTCAGTGTCAGTGGACAAAATCTCAGTCGATGCCAAAACTCTGAAAGTAAAAGCAATATGAAAACCAGAAAACCAAACCAAACCAACACCAAGGCATGGTCCAAAGAGCTATAGAATGTGAACAGGCAAGCCAAGAAATGAACACCACTAAGGGCCACCTCAAAGTTGCTAAGGTGCTAGAGAGACTCAAACAGAAAGACTGGACTAGTCACAAAAAGCCAGCTAGGGGGACCAATGGCAAACCAGTCCTTCCACCACGCCATCCCCAAAGCCAATCCGTCTGCCTTACCGCTTCTCCCAGCTCCCCGACAGCCTTACTACAGACACTAAGTTGCCCTGAGGCGGCGTCCTCTGGAATCTCAGACTCTTGCCTACCCAGTTACATTGCTAACAGCATCTTAGCAACACACTTGTTCTGTAAGTCGAAGATCCGCTGACATTCTTCTTTGTAACGTTCCTGATGTTCAGCCACCGAAAACCGTGACCCTCGCGCAAATTTACTCATGGGCCCCTCTCCAGAGCGAGCCTGTTCTGTTGACATGGTGCGCACAACATCGATTACTTCCCACCGAGATAGCTTCTTGATCTGTGACAATATGCACACATGTACACATGAGAGGGACTGTGGGACCACAAAAGCAAGTGGATGAAGTGGAAGGCTTTAGGGAGGCTAGGCCCTGAGAAGAGAGTACAGGGACTAGCACTATCCAACCTACCTTAGGAATCCCCAGACTGCCCCTCACACCTGACTCCTGGCTTTACCCTCCACACAAAGCCCAGTCAGCCTCCTCCACACCAACCTCTTCCTCCGGCACACCAAATTTACGGAGAAGTTGCTTGGCATTTTTTAGAGAGAGGCGACGGAGATCTGCATCGGTTCCCGTGACTGTCTTCTTCACTGGCTGGGGTTCCTTATCATCCTATCTCAAAACATAAAACAGTGAGGAAACCCCAGAATATCCACTCTTGCTACTAGCCTACCACTCTGAAGGTCGCCCTCTAGTCAAGCCTGTAGGCAGTGCCCCTCCCAGTGAAGTCGCCTTGCACACGCCCTCACAGCCCTGGCCACAGTCTCACCTTCTGCTGGGTTGGTTTGTTTGGAATCTTCACATAGGAGAAGCCTTCCCCACACCCTGTAGGATCTGCCACCCCAGTCACTTCCAGGAGACACTTGCCCTTCATGGCTGCAATAAAGGCCCTTGTAGTGTTCCAGGGGGCAGTACGCACCTGCATCAGAGAGGAGAGTTTGGAATGCTGGTGGCATGGCCCACAGGCAAGTATGAGAGTCTTTCTACTCAGCATCCCCAACACCCCCCAAAAAGAACAAGTAGACCTTTAAAGGTGCACAGAACACTGTTCTCCTTTCTCCTACTATCTCAATAGTGGGTTAGCTGGCTGACCACGGTGAAGACATGCTCTTCGATATTCAGGACTTCACCGCTGGCTCCCTCCACCCCAGAACTACAGCTCACATCAATAAGCAAATGAAAATGACCACTGAAGCATAGGTTTTTTTCTTCTCATGGTTGCTTTGACTTCCCCAAGCTTTCTGAATGTGAGGAGTCAGCTTAACAGTCATCCCTGCCCCCCAACATCGGTTCAAGGCCCATTACCTATTGGCCATAAGGCTCTTTCCACTCTCCCCATTTATAAACGGTCCAATCTTCTTTGGGTGTTGAAATCACATTACTAACCACACTTGATAGTTTAGGAAACCGAGGCAAGCATGCGTCACAGGTACAATGTGTACTCAGTGACTAATTCTTGGCTCCAAGTTCTAGCTCTAAGACCATTTCATAGTTTTTCTAAGTCAGAAGCTGCCTTTCTCCCCACATCCCACACCCCACTCCTCAGCACAGAAGAGCATGGAACCACTTCCCACCATAGCATGGTGGACTTCCCTTTCCTGCTTCTGTTCTTGGTAACAGACTGAAAATCACCATGGGAGATGACATGCCCAAGACACCAGCACCCCGCTGAGAAATGAGGAGGCAGCCAGGGAACTATCACAAGGAAGAACAGGTGAGACCAGCTCACAGGAAGCAGCACAAGGCTGACCTCATCATCAATCTTCATCTGGAAATCTTCCTCATTCTCTTCTTCTGGAGCAAAGAAAGACTTTTCCCCATAACCAGCATCCTAGAGAAACAAGTGATGACAAGTCAGCCAACAAACAGAGACAAAGGCAACCACGTTAGGCTGAACACCATATTGGGTTGGTCCTTAGGGGACAGAGCTGCAATGTCCTCAGCTAAGTCAACAGGTGCTTGAGACTCACGGTGAAGATTCATCACTTCCTAAGTCCAAATCTTAACTTAAGTTCCTCACAACTGAAGTCCTATGGGGCAAGAAGCCAGCTCAGGCTCCCTGGTCCTTGCTCATTCGGGAAGGAACAGAACCGGAACCATATGCTAGCTTTCTTCTCCACACTACACCTGCAGCATTCAGGCTCGCCTGGTTGGATACAGGGAACAGGCCGCAAGTGACTTCATTGCCCACATAGCTGCCAATCGCCACCCAGATGGAGAAACAAAGTAACTTTCCCAGTGCCTCAGAACACAGGAAGCACCTCATCCATCCATTCAGAATCTTTTCCATATGAAAAACCAGACAGCATCTCCCATGAAGCCCCTGGAATTTTCCTCTAAAGCCAAGGGGAAGCACAGCTCAGTGGTGGCTATGAGGAAGGAGAAGGTAGGTGAGTTACCTTCAACCGCTGCTCTGCAGCTATCATGCTATAATAAGCACAGCACTGCTCTGGAGACACCATGGCTCGGATCTCTTCTTCAGTTGGTAAACGGAAATCAGTCTTCAGCACCCACCAGTTTGAGTCCATCCCTGGAAAAGACTCAGGAAGTGAAATCCCCACTCTCCCGACACCACACACAGCCTCCAACAGGCCAGCCAATGGCCAAAGACCATTCCTCAGAAGAGGACTTCAAGGGAGGTAATGTCGATGCATAGCTGCTGCCACCACAGCTTACCTGTGCGCTTGAAGTCAGCACAGAGCTTTAATCTCTTCCGGATGCTGCTTTCTGAGTGAGAAGGGAAGGCTTTCTTGATGTCCTCCATACGGATCCTCCGTGGACGGTCTCTACTCTTCCAGAATAAGCGGTATATGAAAACCTGCCAATCAAAGCACAAACAAATGAACAAATGATCTCTTTGATAAGTCTCCAGGGTCCAGGAGGAAGGTGAGAAGCACCTGTCTTCTACAGGCCCAGTCAGCTAAGCTCCCCTCCCTTCCTGTTCCATCCCACCAAATCAGACCTGCAGAAAGTCTCTAATGTGAGTGTTGGCCCGTTTGGAGTTGGGACCAGGAACTTCAAACAAAGGGCACTGTTGGCCAACAACAAAGATGTCGACTAGCTCCCGAATATAGTAACCCTGTCGCGTCCGAATAATCAGGAAGTCTGTCTCTGGCATCTTATGAAGATAAATTGGAGCCCGGAAAAGGTTGTTCTCAAATGCCTATCAAAAAGAATGCAGGAATGAGAAATGAGACCCAGAAAAGCACTTGATCAGGGGCCTGGCCAGAAAAGCAGCTAACCACATCTGTCAGCTCTCTGTTCTCTGTGAGGTCTAAGTTGTATTTAGCATGAATAAAATCCCAGAATTCCAAAAGAGAATACAGAGTTAAATACAGCTCATGCTCAGTAGCCCATCTCAGGAAATAAACCCAGCTACAGCCTGTGGAAGAAACCCACCCTTTAGGGAGACAGATGCACAGGGGTAAGTGTCTTTCTCTCAAAGGACAAGATACATAGAGATCAACTGTCCCTAGAAGCGTAGGATTTTAGGAATGCCTTTTAAGAACAACTGAAGAGGAAAGCTGTTCAGCATATTGATGTGGGGAAAAAAGACATGAAAGAGGAAAGAAACAAAAACCAGAAAGGGGATGCCATAGTCTGAAGAAGATGCTTAATGCTGGAAGTATAGACAGAAATGAAGGAAGCAACAGGCTTTGATGGGGCAAGAAAAGAATAAAGCAACAGCAGCAAGCCAGGAAAACAGGCTGAGGTGGTGAGCCAAAGCCAAGCCAACATTAGAAGGCCCAAGAAACAGAAGAAGTGGCTGTATGTCCACCAGAGAAGGCAAGGCAAAGCTGGGGAGCGCAGCGGTACCCTACAGCACAGCACTGGAGGCTGCAGATGGCACAGCTCAGGCATGCTCGTTCCTCCAAAGTGGCCATGACTAATATGGCCAAGTCTCAATTTTCCACATGTGGCATATGCACTTTGGGGATTAGCCATAGCAAATTTTTAACCCCAGTTTGACTTCTTTGTGTCACCCTGAGCTCCCTCTCCTCACGTATGCTTGGGAAAAAGGAATTCACTTTCACCTTAGCCTAAGAATAAGATATTTAGGAAGAAAAATTCACCCCCCCTTTAAAAAAAGAAATCAGTTTGTTTTTATTATCCACTCCACTGTTAGCCTCCCATGAAGGTTAGAAACTTAGAGTTTCATTAGAGTTGCCTTGATGACACCATTCAGATCCTCCCATGACTGACCCTTCCTGGACCAACTAGCCCCCATCTATTCTTTCCTTTAGACTAGACTTATAATTTGGGGGGGGGGAGGTTTTGGAGAACGGGAAGGGGAAGGAATTCCTCACCTGCAAAAGCTGGCCAGGGTGGAGAGAGCCCAGGAAAGGAGACGTGTGACAATAAACCGTTTCTCCATACTTACAATCAGGGGCTCCAGGGTCCTTCCCCGGTTTCTAGGAAGAAGAAAACAGACCCAGTTAGTGCAAGCAAACATAGATGGCACAGAGAACTATACCGAGCCCCTCAAGGATAGGATGAAGTATACCAAAAACACGATTCTGTCCCCAAAGGAGCTCATGGGCTAAAAAGGGGTACAGGACGAATACAAACCTATAGTATAACATCATCATCGTACATAATGACAACAGCAGGCAGATTCCCTAAACAAACTCACCCGTTTATAGTAGTTTTTTATCTTGGTTGCCATGCCGACCTGCATCATTAAGGGACCATTTTCTTCACTATACTCAGCAAGAATCAGATCTCCATCTTTGCCTGTCAGGTCCTGGGGTGTACGCATAAAAAACATCTCCCCACCACCTGAGGCCTGGCGTTCTTGTTCTCTCATCTGCCCAGCACAAAGGAAGCACAGTCCACATCAGAGCACAAAGCCAAGCCCAACGCACTTTATCCAAAGACAGAGAAACACCCTCCTGCCCCCACCCAACCCTGCTCCTATCCCCGCCTGCCCAAAAAGGCTTTACTTTGGCTTTCTTCTTGATGTGTTTCAGCAGGGGCTGGACAGAGTGGGGACCTGGCTGGGACAGGGCCCCAAAGGAATACTTCTTCAGAGGTGGGCGGTGGAACTGCCGGAGTTTGACGGGGCCCATGTGGGTGGGGAAGAAGGGCTGCCGGAGCTCCACCGCAGGGATTGAATGCTGAAAGAGGCAACACGCAGGCTCTGACTGGAGAACTGACCCAGCACCAGCCAACGGCCCCCAAAGACAGGCGCCAAGGACCTACCCATTTCTCCCTTCACAGAAAATTGCTTTTACCTGTATAATGTTCCCCCCAAAGGTACCGCGAAGGCCCTGCTGCTTGGGGTAGTAAAACTCGTCGTTGGACAGGTTCCAAGGGTCCTTCACCTCCGGCTGGGACATATTCTGATCACCCACAGCAAAGGGACATCACTCAGAGAGTGATCTTCGCCCAAAGATCTCCACACCCGAACCCACGAACTCCCTCACAGACCTGCTGTGGCTCTTCCTTGATAACTCCCGTTTTCCCTAAGAGGATTCGACTCTTCTTTAAAGAGGATTCCTTCTTATTCTCCTTCGACGGGGAATTCGATGTCATCTCTTCCTTTTCATCAGGTATTTCTGACAATCAAACAAAGATGGCTCAGGAACACCCTTCAGGAAGAGCCATCTCCCTTACTGAGAGGCCTTTGTAGTTCTAACTGTAACCCCAAGAAAACATTCAATCCAAGCCCTTCTATTTACAGATGAGGAAACAGGTTCAGGTGAGCAGAATGGCTGACCAGTAAACAGATGGGTTCCCCAATCTCTAAGGTTTAAGGAAAACTGGAAACCTTTTTCTACGTTCACTTACTAGGCTGAGAAGCAGGGAGGGCGCTCGTCCCAAATCATGTATGTGTATGTATGTGTGTATGTGTGTGTTTATATAGACACATATCTTGTGTGTATATGTAGATATATATGATTTTATGTATGCATATAATTTTACATAATAAATAAAATTATGTGTGAATACACATTTTGCCACTACTCAAATACTTGCTGTTCTCCCAAAACCATTCTTAAAAAAAATTAGGAACCAGCAGCCACAGCCAGCTCACCTATTTCTTCCAAGCACCCTCTCCCCGACCCCCCCCACCCCATTACACCCTAGTTTTTTCCTGCCATTGGATCCTACAAGTCAGCTACGCAGGTGGGAAGAAGAACACTGATCTTGGCCACTGCCATACCCAGTATGAGATTCTCATCATTTGGATCGAGTGTCAAGACAGGAGGTTCCAAGAGCCGAGGCATGGCCAGGGCATCCCAGATGATGTTGTCTTCCCAGCGGCCATACACCAGCTCCTCATTGTCAATTGGGAAGATGGAGTACCAAGGTTTGTCGTCATCCAGAGTGGCAGTAAAACCTATTTAAGATAGGAGACGGGGTCCTTCATAAAGGGCAAGTGAGAAATGGTTGAATGCTCATTCAGTCGTGAATAAGGGGAGACGAAGAGAGCAAATAATACCAGGAGACTCATCTGGCTCTCTGCCTGAGGAGAAATAAACACATCTCTGATTTGGAGAAAGCAGCATTTTTCACTTTTGATTTCCCTAAAGCAGAGCTGATAAATATGTTTTAGAAAGGAAGATGTACTACAAAAACAAAGCACTCAAGATCCAGACAGATTTCTACAACTTCAGTGATAACCTTCAAGCTTTGTTTTTAGTGAGAAAGTAAAGTCCTCATTAGCTGGTTAGCAGAGAAGAATCATCAAGGGCTAGGCCTGGGGCCCAATCCCAACACTCCCCTGCCTTCACCACCCCCAAGGTCACAGCTACACCCAAATGGAACCTCTCCCCATCCCACCTTGCTGAGCATTGTATGCCATGGCATTCCTGGTCATGCTGGACGGAAGCCAGCCAGCAAGGCTGGCCCGCTGAGGTTTTGTCCCCTTATGTTTGATGTCTTCCCCATCCCAGATGATGTCATCCTCCCAGTGTAGCTGGGTAACCATCAGGAAGTTCTCGTCGGCCAGAAGATCCCCTGCTTCCTCTAACACACCCAAATCCTGCATTAGTAGAGAAGGCATCAGGATGCTGGGACCTCAGGCCTAATGTTTGGACAAAGCAACCACCTTGCCTTTGGCATGCACCCCGTCAGCATGCTCTCACAAGACACCCATGACTTAAGAAGGACACTCAATTTAAAAAGCTGAGTGGAAAAGCACAACACAAACAAAGCAAGGGAAGGACAAAACCATTCTTCTCCCGGCCTCCTCCCAACATCAAGTCAAGCAGAACACTCTTCTCTCCTTTGCCACAGCTCCAAAACTGGCCACGGATTCCCAGCCAAAGACTCAGAGACTCTAACCCCACTACTAGATGAACTCGTCTCATTACCTGCTACTGAATGGCTAAGTTGGCAAAGAAGGTCCAGGGCACAATGAGCCATGTCTTACAGTCTGCCCCCTCGTCCCCTCACTTCAAAGCACCTCACCTTCTCCACCATCCCTGGCTTTGTTGACCGCTCATCTTCTGCACTTTTGAGTTTGAAGCCATAGTCGAACCCACCGCCATCTTCAGGGACACCCAACATGTCATACCACAAGCGGGCAGGACCATAGCGCCACTCGGCTACCTTTGGCTTGGTGTCTGTAACTTTGTCTATGTCTCCAGCTGACTGAGAAAACTTAGACTCCACAGGAGCCATCATCGTGATCTACAGTGGAACAGGGAAAGATGTGAAGAGGCCCATCCTTCGCTGAGTCTCAAAGCACCAATTTCTATATTGGCAATGTCTTTTATTGACCAAGAAAACGAACCCCAGACTTCCTGTGGCTGCTAAGAGGCAAACAGAGTCATAATGAAATGACTTTAAACAATCCCAAGGAGTGTTTAAGCAAAAGATATCCTTGCCTAAGGCTAAGGCTAGAAGAAACCTTGGAGTGATATTACCAAGAACATCTTACCTACTCTTCAAGACTTTCAACCCATCAGACCCTGAATCGAGGTTTGCCCTCCCCCATCGCATTCCTCATATCATCAGTTGGGGAAGTCCATGAGATTAAGCCAGGATTCTCCACTGGTAACTGTCAGGAAACTCAGCCCACTGGAATGTCTAGCCTCTATTGTACCTACCTCATCATCTGAGAGGCACTGCTCTGGAGGGGGAGGAGGAGCAAATTCACAGGCCCACGGCGATTTTCTCTCCACCTCAGGGTCTCCAGGGCACTCGCCCTCCTGGATTTGGCCTTCTTGTGTCAGCTCTCGGTGCTTTTTCTTCCTCTTTCTTCGAGCACTCCGCCAAACAGATGGAACATTCTTCCCTGGGCCAAAGAGACGAAGGAAGCGCAACACCTAGAACAGAAAGAGCGTTGCTGCATCAGTCTCAAAGTCCAAGATTGAGGCAGGAGCACATCGGGCAGAAGATAGGACCGAGGTTTACACAGCTGCAGGGGACAAGTCTGGGTTACTAAATGCTGCTCCAGCATGCCTACAAATGGAAGGAAAAACAATCACGCCACCCCTGCTATGATCCTTTTTTGCAACTTGAAGAGCATAAGTCACTTCTCCCATCAATCTATCCAGCTGTAAAATCCCAGGAAAGAGTATGACAAGAACTCTGCTACTCCAGAAACACTATCCCTCAATTCCCATAGAGCACAGGCCACATGTAGCACAAGACACAAAAACACTTAGATTATTGCCATTCTTGATTCAACATCTTGTGTAGAACTCTGCCTCAAATGAACATTTGTCATGTATTTGGCCACCCACCAGCATAAGGTCTCAGTTCCAATAGCTGGCTTGTTTTAGTCCTGATCATCCAATTCAAATGCTACTTCCATGAAGCCTTCCTTGTTTCGCCTGGATCAGTAACGACCTTTCCCCTTGTGCCTGCCTCCCCCAGCAATGATAAGCCCCTTCTCTAACGCACTTACCATGTAATCTTGGGGATTCCACTGACCAGTCTTTGTAGCACTCCCCTTCTAGAGCACATAGAACAGCAGCGGGGCAGAGTAAAATGATCCCTGAGCTTGTAGTCAGGAGGCCCGAGTGTGAGTTCTACCCCTGACACTTACTAGCTCCATGTGCTTCAATAGGGTTAATCATAGTTACGCTCCTTCCCACTTTGGCAAGGAAGACTTAGAGCACTACCCAAACAGGAGAGATTATAATTTAGGTTACGTGATATATCATGCCAGATGTTATGATGTTGTATAATTGTTTTAAATTTCCAGCACTTAAGCTTCATGGTCTACAAACAGTAGGTAAAGTAGTAAGGAAATGTTGGATGGGATTTTTCCATTGGTTTCCATTCATACTTTAGAAGGCTGAGCTATCAAAAAACAAATACACGGTCTTCTTTTCCATTGCCCATGTGCTCTACTAAGCTTGAGCTGTCCTTTCCCTTCTCTCTCTCTGCACCTTCACAATACAACCCTCCTAAAATATAAAAAACCACCATACCTTGCCTGGCCGAAACTCGGGAAAAAGATCTGTGACACTAGGTAACACTTTTGTGGAGTCACGCTGCATGATCCCAGCCAGAGGGAGAGTGAGCTTGCCCTCCTTTGACTCTGTCTGTCTTGTTTCCTGCAGGCCCATCTCAGATTCTGAGTCTGAAGAACTACTGAAGTCGACCTTCTCGGAGGTGGCAGAGGAAGAGGCAATGATAGAGGGCAGAATGATGCCATCTCCATCCTCTGATACTGCTGCAACAGGAGAAAAAAAAGCACCCCTTGTCATTTAAACCAAGGTCAGCTTGGAGCCCCACTTCAGTGGAGGCATGAATCACTCACAGAATCCCTGTCACTGCATCTCATACCTGGTATCCCTAAGGTTGTAACATGAGGACAAAACATAGACTGTATCACCACAGTCCTCTCTGTAAGCTCAAAGAACACTGGGGAAGATGCTGGAACATGAGCAAAAGGCAAGTTCTATTAGACCATACGAGAGTCAGGCTATATTATATCCAGTTCTGGGCACCAGTATCTAGAGAATGTGTGGCAAGCTAAGTATAACAATGAAAATGCTTGGAAAACCAGACCTATGAGGAAAGGTTAATGGAATTTAGGATCATTTAACCTACAAACTAAAAAGCCAGAAAAGAGTACAAAATACACAGCAGCAAATAAAGAAGAAATGGGTAAAAACTGAAACATCAAGGACTCAAAGTAACCTCGAACTGAAAGTTGTTATCAAAGGAGGCCAGGATTTTCCCAAATGACCCAGCCATGGGAGGGGGAACTGTGCACTTATAAAAGATATACAGATAGTGATTAGAATTAATAATAGCTAGTCTTTATTAAGGTTTACAAAGCATACACATACACTAATTTGGCATTCACAACAACTCGGAGGTAGGTGCCATTATTATCCCCATTTTTGGGGGGAGGGGGGACTAATATTACTACCTACTTCAGGCTGAACTTAGGCCCCAAGACGAAGTAACCTACCCAGACCAAGAAATATCTGAGGAAAAATCCAAACCCCAGCCTTCCTGACTCGAAATCTAGAACTCCAACAAGTCCACCACAATGCCTCTCTATCAAGATCACCTCTGAAGGGTCCTGCTGGCCTGATACATCTCTACTTTACCCTCATTCCAGGACTGCTGGCCCAATAAGCCATTTCTTTAAGATAGACATCTATACTGTCATATTGACTTATGCACGCTGGAAAATCATTCCAAATATTTGGAAAGGCAAACTTCCATATGGCAGTTAAGCTTTGGATGTTTCATGTGAGAACCTACATTAAGTTAATAAAGCCCAACGGGGTGGTAAGTACTAGTTGTGCAGGAAAGTCCCCCTGAGGGAGTCAAGACCAAACTCAGGGATCTACAGAACATTCCAAGATGCATCCAAGGAATGATTTCTAACCAGTCCTGCACTCCTTCCCAGCATTTCAGTTTTGCTGACTAGCCCCATGCCTTTCTGCTCCAGGCTGGGCTTCAGACCACACTGGCCTGCTCATTCCTGAGGCAATACACCAAAGAATGGTGGCTTCGAGGGGACCCTCACCACACACAGCAGGGTCCTGACTATCATCCTTCCTCATGGGTCCTGGTGGCGGAGGTGGGGGAGGCATCAGCTTGGAATCGATGTCTTCACAGTCTGCATCATAGTCATCGTCATCATCATCTAAGAAACCCAAGAGAGAGGCCAGTCAGGGGCTAGCCTGGTGTCTTTCCCAAATACAGAGCACCCCATCCCGACCCCTGCAGAACACACAGGAGATGCAGCCTTTGCCTTGAGGAAAAGATGGAATGTCCACACAGCAAAACACCACACCATGCACACATGCACGTAACCTAACCAGGGAATTAGGGGGACTCACACGCACTATGTGTAACCTTTTCCCCCTTTCCACTCCCACATCCCTGACCTTCTTTCTCTAGCTCTGAAATGCGTTCGCTACACCTTGATATTCTTTCTAGCCTCTAAGTCCAGAACGTCACTCTCCTGGATCTCTCACTTTTTAACCACTCCTTCTGTGTTTTCTGCTGCCTGTTCTTTAACTGATTGTTCCTCAAAGCGAAATGCTGAACCCCCTGCTCATCTCTCTATGCTCAGTCCCTTCCACCTCTACCAGCATGCTGTTCACTTCCATAGCTGTACTGCCAGCTCTAACCACATACCTTCTTCCCAATTATCTGGCTCCTTTGATCTGTAGCCCCCCTTCACTGAGATGCCCCAACCACTAAACTTGAAGATGTGTTTATCATTGTGCCCCCCTTTCTCTTTCTCCCACACACACACTGTCACACACACACACACCCCACACAGAGCTCTTCCTTATCCCTTTCCAATTCCCCCATTATTTTCAACATTGTCCTCTTGTTCTCCCCCAGGTTTGCCACCCTACTCAGTCAGTCAAATAAACATTTCTTAAGCACCTACTATGTGCCAAGCACTTTGCAAATATCATTTCTTTTGATCCCTGTGGATGTTCAAGAGCTAGCTGATAAGGCAGAAAAGATTACTACCATCATTGCTTGGCAGTTACCAAATGGCAACAATGTATCTACAACTTAACAGAATGAAGAATGAAATACTTCCAACATGGTGCCATGGTGAGTATTTCAAAAGAAACAAACTGGCTGAAGACTTCTTGGAACTAAGCTGAGAAAGGAAGAAAAGCAGACTCAAGGCACAGGTAGCAGGGACAATGGCAGTAACTGGGCCTCAAAGCTGGGGCCAGGGGTGGTCACCACAGCCCTGGGATGGAAGAATGTTGACAGCTCCCCATGAATCACCTGAGGGGCAGGATGGCTGCAAGCTGGTCATTGCCTGATGGTATCTTCGGCTTTCATCTTCTGCCACCTCAGTGATATCAGAATAGTCTACGGCATCTTCAATGCTCTTAACCCAACCTGGAGAGGAAAAGGGCTATCTTACAGGAGAAAACAATCCAGATTCCCCCAGATCATTCCTACATAGCATTCCCAAATGTCCAAGACCCCAATTTTACCTTCTTCATCCACAAAGGCACCATCAGTTCCAGTCACTTCCTCTTCACTTGCAGTGATTTCAGTGATCAGATTGCCAAGACCCAAAGCCCCAAGGCCTGCCAAGTGCTTCTTAGACTCCTGAAAAATGAGATAGCATCAGAGCTGAGGACCCCTAACTAGATACCACTCTCTCACATTTAAGTTTACATTCTTACTCCAGCATAAAACATATCCATAAAGCAACAAGATGCTTTGGACCTGCTAAAAGAATGTAACCTGCAGAGGCTGGGAAATCATCTTTACACTCCTTAAAAGTACTGTGTCCATTTCTGGTCACCATATTTTAAAGGGGGTATGAAACAACTGGGAAGACTTCAAAAAGGAATGAATGACCAAGATAACAAAAGGGAAGAAAAATGGATTCTCCAAGAAAAGTTCAAGAAATTGGGGTGGTTCTGCTTAGAAGAAAGCCAAGGGGATGGCTCCACAGTTTATAAATAAATGAGGAGGCAACACTAAGAAGTAAGTCTCTCCATGTCTACACAAGGTTAAGAGAAAAGAGTTTAAATTGAGGGAGTGGATTCTATTGGGCGTGAGAAAGAAGGCAGGTGAGATCCTACAGAAATGAACACTTTAAGGAGTTTGTGAAGTCTCCCTTCCTACAGAGTTTCAGAAAATGGACAGAGCTCTCTGTTCTGAACGATGGTGGAGAGCCATGCTTTTGTCTGAGAGCAAGGAGCTAAACCAAATGCCCTCCTCAGATCAGCAGGATCACAAAAGTAGGGCTAGAAGAGACTAGGTAGGTCACCTAGTCCAACTCCAACCCCAACCCCAACCCCAACCCTCTATTTGACAGCTGAGAAAACCGAGGCCCAGAGAGGGGGAGAGGGGCTTGCTGGGCACCGAAATGGCACGCCTTAAGTGTCAGAGCCCTAACTGTTCCGGAGGTCAGAGATCGCGGGCGCCAGGAGTGGGCTCGGCAGGTAGAGGGGGTAAGGGCCCGCCGCCACGCCGGCCTCACCTTGTCCAGGATGCTGTCCCCTTCCAGCTGCCCGGCCTCGTTGATGTTGCCGAAGAGGAAGCCGGCTAAGGAGAAGGGACAGCTGCTGCTGCTGCTGCTGCTGCTGCTGCTGCTGCTGCTGCTGCTGCTGCTGCTGCTGCTGCTGCTGCTGTTGCTGTTGCTGTTGCTGCTGCTGCTGCTGCTGCTGCCGCCGCCGCCGCCGCCGTTGCTGCAGGCAATGTTGCTGCTGCCATTCCCGCCGCCGCTAACGCTGCTAACGCCACCGCCGCCGCAGTTCCCCCCGCCGCCGCCGCCCCCGGAGCTTGCGGCCGAGTCCTCGTCACTGTCCGAGTCCGACATGGGGTCTCGTGCCGGCGCAGGCAGCCCCCGGCTCTCGCACAGGCCTCGGACCGACGGACGAGGAGCGCGCCAGCTTCGCGGCGGCACCTCCCTCCGGAAGTACGGGACGGTCGAGGGGCGCACCGGAAAGGCCCCAGGTAGGCCGCGGGGGGCGGGGCGAGCCTTCGGGCTGCCCCCCGCGCGATTCCAGCCTACGCTCGACAGGACCTCTCGGCGCCAACTGATTTGACGCGCCCGGAGCTCGGCCCCGCCCAGCCCCGCCCCACCCCGCTTCGCGCAGCCGCACTACAGGCAGCCAATCGAAGTGGGGGGGGAAAGAGCGGCACTGGGTCACGTGGAGGGCGTGCCGTCATGTGCCTGCCTGCACTCAGCTCTGCGGGTCGCGGCGCTTTCCGCTGCTGCCTTCTAATGCGGTTCCGCGCGCCTCGGGGGTCCCTGCAGCTGCCGTGGCTGCCCCCATGAGCCGAGGAGTAAAGCCTGACGGAGCAGGCAGCACGCCAGCCCCGTCGTTGTCCGGGGAGCGGGGGAAACTGAGGCAGGGCGGCCCCAGGCGCAGCGCCAACAGCTGGCTAGCTCTTCCCGGGGTCCTCCCTGCGAGGTTCGGCGCCGCCACCGCCCCCCGCTTGCGGCCCGTAGCCGGGCGGAGATCTTTCAGCTTGGCCCGATAGCGATGGCTACATTTGTATCGAGCCGCCGGGCAGCCCGTGGCCCGGCCTTTCTTCACCTCCCGGTTCCCTCAGCTAGACCTGGCCGCGCGCCCTGGCAGCCTGCCCTCGGAATGTACCCAGAGCAGACAGGCAGGCTTCGGCTGATCTGGCACTGAAGCCGAAGAGCGTGCCATGGAGTTAGGAGAATAGGAGCAGAGGGGTATGAGTGCTAGACTTGGACCAAGATCCCCAGCTGACACCCAGTAACCTCAATTATCATCTGTAAAATGGGGGTAACAGTAATTGTAGGCCTACGTCACCGGATTGTTGTGAGGCTCAAAGTAGAGCTATACTTTTGTAAACCTTAAAGCTTTATATAAATGGTAGCAATTGTTAGCACCGCCCCTACTTTTTGGGGAGTTTTTTTTGGCTCACAGATGGAATAAACTAGGCCCAGATGGGGAAGGATGAGGCATTGTTTCCTGACATCACTCCAGTATTGAAGCATACCAAAGGAAATAAATTGGGTAGATTCAGGATCTCATCCATGTGGGTTCTCCAGCCAGTTACAGACTGTCACTTTTTTTTTTCATTCTGTGCAGAGGTACCTGGGCAAGGGTAAAGATTTCCATAGGTGTGACCAAGAATGCCAGAGTTGAAACTGAGTTGTCATAGATCAAAGAGAAAAAAAGGAGGGGTTCCTTTAAGGAAAAAGAAAGGAGATAAGAAAATAGACACTGGGCTAGATGAGATCCATTGAGTTGCTGGGCAAAAGGGAAGGGATGGAAGGATTACGCCTATGGGTGATTTGCAACCTGCTCATTATCCTTCCAGGGTATTCATAAATCCTATGTTTGAAACTTAAGGAGCAGTTATATAGTAGAAAGAAATCTTTTTCTTTTTCAAGGGGAATCCTTGGGCTGAGAGACAATAACAATGCAGAGACCTGGGAATATCAGCAAAGCTTTACCACCGTTTAATTATGAATAATTTACAAGTGACTCTAGCATATTAGTCTTCATACAAAATCCATTTAAGTATACAAATCAAGTTACCAGTGTATGTTACAGTACCACATCCCATCAGCCATGGGCACAGGCGACTCCCTGCTCCACCAGATGGGCTAAATCCATTTTCAAGAGAAACCAAAGTTTGCCCAAGCAATACCCAGATTTGAAGAGTGTGAGGATGGGAGGGAAGGCACCACAGGATTAAAATCCCCACAAGAGAACTGCTGCAGTTCTAAGTGTCAGTCTTCCATTCATATCAAATACCCCCCAAAACTTGCCCTACCAAATAAGTCAGAGCCAAGCCTTTGACATCACTGGCAATAGAGCATTCACTAATGCTGAGAAACCAAGTAACCTCCCCTGACAGATATCTTCATATACTGGGGGAAAGTATTTTCCTGGAAGAAATATTCAAACTCCTCAGTTTGAGAGGATGCCCATTGATTGGAGAAAAACCTGGGAAGACAGAGTGAAGTAGGCAGAACCAGATCAATCTACAAAGTAGTCACAGTATTGTAAAGAAAAGCAACTGAAAGACTTAGGAACTCTTAGCAACACAATGACCCAGCCATAATTCTAAGCACTCAAGATGAAACATGCTATCCATCTCCAGATAAAGAGCTGGTAGACTCAGGAATAACGACTGAGGCATATTTCCTTCTCTTTAACTTTTTTTTTTGAGGGGGGGAGGAGTGGCGGAAATATGGCTAACGTGGAAACGTGTTTTGTATGAGTATACATATTTGTAATCAGTTCTAGTTTTCTTGCCTTCTCAATGGGTGGGAGAGGGAACTGAGAGAATTTGGAACTGCAGATAAAATTGAGTTGAAAACTTTTCAGTCAGAAGACCCTGACAAAGCCCTCAGAGGGTACTACAAACCTTCATCCAGCAGAATAGCCCTAATGCACTTTGGAGATCTCATTTGGCTGACACTAGCTGACACAGCATGCCCAGAAGTGGCTGGCTCTTGAGGACAACATACTCCCCTCATTATAGCACGGCCTTTCCCCCCAAAGTTCTAAGAAGATTCTGCCTCTACCAAGAAAGGCAGCCTTGTCCTAGTCCCCTGGGATACTACCACAGCGGCTCGCACCTGTGAAAACAAGCATGGGTGTGGGGACGGAGTCAGAAACCCACATATGGGCAGCAGTGTGTTTTGTGGGCCTTTCTTTCACAGGTTCAATCCACTGGTGCCAGGCTATGTGGAAGTACCAGGAAGCAGTGTCTGCAGCTTGAGATAAAGTGACCAGAAAGCCTGGTAAGTTCCATCTCATGATCTCATGGCACATAATAAAGAAGAGACATTTGTTTAGGATGAGGAGGAGAGAAAGGATGGTGCAAATTCCCTAATAGTGCCTCTAACCTGGGTTCCTAGTCCTCCAGAAAGCTGACCCCGGGGGTGGGGGGGATGCTGGGGTCACCAAAGGCACATAGTATTCACTGAAGGCACAAGAGACCCTTTTTATTCCATTTCCCAAATTCCCAACAGCCTCAGTGTAATTTTGAAAAGTGGGGTGTGTGAGGAGGTCAGCATTTCATCTGGCTGTCCCTCCCAAAGCAGAGCCCAGAATCAAAAGTTAAAAGGTTTTCTCCTTTTCCTTTTAGGGAATCACAAAATCCTTTAAACTCAGCTGGAGGAAAAATGGGGGGGAGGGGGACAGAAGAGCTGAGTTGCTTGGGCCAAACAGGGGACGGCCTCAATCAAGGGTGGGACAATCCCAGCCTCAAGCTACTTTAAGAGCCCTAAGGAGGGAGCAGTTGCCAAGCCTCATAGGGCAGGGATGGAGATAGGAAAGCTATCCCTATCAAGTAGTCTCAAAGTTCAGCCCAGAAGAATAGGGACACAGAATCCCCTTAATGTAAGTGGTAAGAAGTAAGCTCAGCACGTCCTGTGTACTGCCATTTCCCTTTCTTACACCTTTCTCTTCATGGTAGAGAAGGGGAATGAAATGCTAGCCCCAGAGCACCAGTACCCCCATTAATCTTTGCATCAACAAATGAGTATTTATGAAGCATTTACTCTGCGCCAAAGCGGAGATGTCACCTGAGGCCCCCAAAGGTGATCTAAGAGGCCATGAGCTCCTCCAGCCCCACTAGCCTCATCTGGAGGCCCCGTTTGTCATAAACCTTTCCCACGAAAAAGCCTAGTCTTGGGGGAAGAGAGGCAGAAGGAGAGGAACAGGGAACATCTGGGAAACAGACATGAGAACATTTTCAAAAATTAGTACATCAAAAAAAAAAAGGAAAGAAAGAAAGAAAAGAAAAACCTCAAGGCAACAACGTCATGCAACCACACCTGCCTTCTTTCTTTTTGCCCACAAAGACCAATGCTCAGCACCAAGGAGCAGGCAGTCGTGCCAAGCTGTGGCCAGCTCCCCCCTGCCCCCTTCCCCCACTTCCAAATCAGGCCCAGGACTGGGGACTACGGAAGGGTTCCTGGCTCTGCATGGTGCCTAGGCATTGTCCCAGGAGCTACAAGAGGATGCATTTCTTTGTGTTCTTCTTGGTGACAGGGTACAGCACAGCTCTCACAGCCTCTGCAAATACCTCACCAACTCCATCTTGCATCAGGGCTGAGCACTCCAAATACTTCACAGCGCCCACCTGCTTGGCCAGGGAGGTCCCTTGCTGAGGGGTAGTAGGTGTTAGGCTCAGCTCCTTCAGCCTCTTCAACGTCGCAAGGTCATTCCGCAGGTCCTTTTTGGTGCCCACGAGCAGGATAGGCACGTTGGGGCAGTGATGAGAGACCTCGGGGTGCCACTTGTGTCGCACGTTGGCATAGGATGAGGGGCTGCCAATGGAGAAGCAGATGACAAAGACATTGGTCTGCGGGTAAGACAGGGTCCGGAGGCGGTCATACTCCTCTTGACCAGCTGTGTCCCACAAATTCAGGCTGACTGTCCGGCCATCCACAGACATCTGGGCACTGTAGTTGTCGAAGACCGTGGGGATGTACTCCTCGGGAAAGGCATTGGTCGTATAGCTGATGAGAAGGCAAGTCTTGCCCACAGCCCCATCGCCAACCACCACACACTTGATGGTCTGCATCCTCCCTCCTTCCTCCTGCCTCCACAAGGAAAAGGAAAAAAGGTTCAGTTGAGGCTCTGTCACCTCAGGGAAAGGGGCTTTGGCTAACACATTTGATTACAGAAGTGGGGGCATTAGGGTCTTTTCAACAGATGAATGTGCTGAAAACAAGACCCGTGTTTCTAGTGTATTAATTTCTAGTGTATATAAAGAATCTCTTTCTGAAGATTCAGTCTAATCACTGGGCGCCTTACCCTACCTACCTTTTTCTGGATTGACTTTTTCCCATGTGCCTCCAAGTATGACAGCAAGGAGGGGGCTGGAGTGGGAAAGACTTCGAGCCAGACAATGAACTCCTGGAGAAAAGAGGGCAATGACTGTGCCAAGGCTGAGGACAGGGCCATGTAGCCAGGTGGAGGGGATGAGGGCTCTGGCCTGCACATGGTGATAGTGTGGACAACACCACTGTATTCTGAGCCTCAGGCCTCTGCTCCCTCCCAGCTCACAGAGGCTCCTTTGTCCGAGAAGATAGTCAGAGTGTCGCAGCTAGGCTTCCCAAGAAGAACTCTGCACAGCAGCCCTTCAGTTCCATCCCTGAATACTCTCCCTATGACTGCTACCTCAGCTCACAATTACTGAAGTGCAACAGAGGTTCACAGGCAAGATAACCATGAGAGGAGTGGTGCTCAGGGCAGCTAGGGAGAAACCAAGGCAGGAGGGTAGGCCTTCGGGCATCTCAGAACAGAAGAGTCAGACTGAGGCCCCAAGTTAGACCTACCTCTTCAAAGACTAGGAGAAGCCTGATTGAAAGGTCAGCTCCTTCCCCACGTTCCTCTCCCAATGTATTATGCTTGCTTCTTTGTCCAAACATTTTTCAGTCATCTGAATTTTACCTCTGCCTCAACGTTAGGAATTTTCCTAACTGGAGACTGAGGAATTTTCATTTACTAGAAAGGCCATAAAGCATAAGGGGAGGGAACCAAGCCGACTGGAGGGGCCATTGGATTGCCCCAAGGTCAAAAAAGGAGCTAACTGTGGTCAGGAGGCATGGCTGATTAAATTGCCAGAGGCAAAAGGGATAGGCTCCACAGGGACCCCCACACCCACCTTGGTCACACTAACAACTCCTCCATTCACTCACTTCACATGAGACTGAGCTCCTAAGACCACAGTCATAGACTCTGGAAGGGACCTCAGAGGTCATCTACTCCACTTTCCTCATTTTACAGAGGAGGAAACTGAGGCAGCCCTGAGAAGCCATAATGATCCCAGAAGTGGCCAAAGTGAAATGTGAACACACGGATGGCCTTGTGAACAGAAAAGCCACCTCAAAGCACGGCCAAAGCAGTGTTAGCTTCCCGCCATGTCCCTCAATACAACTTGGCATCTTCAAAGGGAAAATTCCTGCCCCAGCTTCTTCATTCAAGGCTACTTTGTACCATCCTGCTCATAAATGTATCAAGTTGTTAGAAGGAACCTCCCAGAGCCTCTCATTCTAAGCTCAATTAATTGTCCTGAAAATGGAGCCAGATGCTTAAAGAGGGGCAGTCTGGCCAGGGAAAGAAGGAAATGGAGATGCCCATGGGCAAAGCAGTATTCTCAAGAAGCTTCCCTAAGAAGGCAGTCAGTCCACAATCTTTTCCAAACCTTCTCCAGACCAGCCTCTGGCCTCAATCATTCCACTCAAACTACTCTCTCCAAGGGCAGGTAGGTGACGCAGTGGAGAGAGCACGCACCAGCCCTGGAGTCAAGAGGACTTGAGTTCAAATCCGGCCTCAGACACATGACACTCACTAGCTGCGTGACCCTGGGCAAGTCACTTAACCAGGTCTGCCTCACCAAAAAGCAAAACAAAGAAACCGTACTCTCTCCAGAATCTCCGATGAGCTTTCTCTCAGTGACTAAACCGAGCCTTTTCTCAACGCTCATCCTTCTTGCCCCAACTTGGGCCGCTGACATCTGCTCTTCTTCAGAGGCCTGGGTGCTGGACCTTTTCCTAGCTGTCTGGCTGCTCCTTCTTGGTTTCTTTTGCTGGATTGCATCAGGCAATGCTCTAGGCCTAGGCCCTCTTCTCTCTCTTCTATTCTTCGTCTCAGTGATCTTGTCAGATCCCATAGATTCCATTCTCATCTCTAAGCAGCTGATTTCTCCAACCCCACCTCTCTCCTGACTCCCAGCATCCTATCTCCACCTGTCCACTGGCCATTGTCAAACTGGATATGTTGTGCTTACCCCTCTGTCTCCACCACCTCCCCTCCAAGTCTCCCCTCTTCTGGTCCTCTTAGCTCTCCTGACTCCCCATCTCCATGGCATTGTGGACTCCTCATTCTTCCTCATTGATTCCCCCCCCCCATTCAATCTGCTGTCCTGTCTCGTTGCTTTTACCTTCACAACATCTCTCATATATGGTCCCTATCTCTCCTCTGACACTGCCACCCTTCTGGGGCAGGCCTTCATCACCTCACTCCTAGACTACGGCAAAAGCTGCTGGGGGGGGGGGGGCTGGTTCTGCCTGCCTCAAATTTCTCCCCTCTCCAATCCATCCTCTATTCCACCACTAAAGGTCCGATCACTCACCCCCAACTCAGTAAACTCCAGTGGCTCCCTATTGCCTTCAGGATGCAATATAAAATCCTTTGCTTGGCATTCAAAGTCCTTCACGACCTCACCTCCCCCCACCCTGACCAGTCTTCCCACCTCACTCCCTGACTCGGCCTCATGGATCCAGTGACGCTGGCTTCCTGGCACTTCCCATCTCCTGACTTCAAGCAAGTTCTCCCTCCTCACCTCCAGGAAGTCTCAGCTCAAACTGTACCTTCTGCAAGAAACCTTTCCTGATCCCCCTTCATGCTGGAGCCTGACCCCTGCCATGGTCTCCATTTCTTCTGCCTACAGCCTGTTTTGTACAGAGGTGTAGGTGTGTCCTTTTCCCCCTCCTCCCCTAGACTGGGAGTGACCTGAGGGCAGAGCCTTTCTTCAGTATCACTAATGTTTAGGGAAGGGCCTGGCTTAAGGCAGGCCCTTAATCAGTTGACCAGATCTGACTAGTGGGATGAGTCCCTCTGGCGATAACCTCAGGTGACCTGGAGCCTCTCAACCAAGTCCATTCAGGTTAGCAAGTGTTTATTCAGCACCTACAATGATGGAAGGCTCGGTTCTAGAGACTTGGGCTTAAGAAAACCAGACCCTGGTGACCTCAAGAAGTTGCCATTCTCCAGTGAGACACAGAGGAGTAAACAGCAGATAAGGAAGCCAGTCCTTTGGGCAGTAAAGTCTGGGTGAGACGAGCTCACTTGAGGCAAAGTACACCAATGAGGAGAGATGCTTCCCAGGGAGGCAGCCCTAGAACCAGAAGTAGTGAGAAGGGCGTGCATTCCACAAATTCAGAGGACGCAGAGTAGGCCCACATGGCTGAAATGCAGCATTACAATGGAGAGGGCCCTCAAACAAGTTAGTCAAGGTCAACTAGAGCCAGGTGGTAAAGGCTTTAAATGCCAAGCTGAGAAGGCAAGAGGGAGCCCCGGAAACTTCTTGAGCAGGAGAGCAACATGCTCAGACCTGCACTTCAGGAAGATCATTTGGCAGCTAAGTGAAAACTGGATTAAGGTGGAGAGAGACTGGGAGCAGGGAATCCAGGAGACGACTGAAGCACTGTCCATGAGAAAGTTAACTGCTGAGGCCCTGAAGCAGGTAGATAACTGAGTGTAACAAAGGGGATGAGAGATGTTGTGGACATAGAACCAATAAGACCTGGCAACTGATGGGCAATGGGCCCAGGACTGCCACAGAACTTGGCAAAGGGCTGTGCCCAATGGGAAAGTCCAGTCTTCGCCAGGTTCATTTGTCTACTTCTGTGGCCTAGTCTGTGCCAGCACTTGTTTTAGATCCAAGGATCTGAAGGAAGCAGCCAAGGCTTGGTGTTTCTACCTCCAGAACAACTACTGCCCTAGTCACCACTTTCTTGGAGTCGTTCTGGCCTCCCACCATGGATTAACCCAAGGGCCCAGAACTGCCTCCTATCTCTCTCCAATCTGTCTTTGCCTCAGCTGCCAAAACGACCTTCCAGAAACACAGCTTGGAGCCTGTCGTTCTCCCTCTGAAGGAGCTTCAGGGGCTCCCCCTTGCCTCTAAAATAAGACACAAGCTCCTTGGCTTGGCGTTTAAAGCCTTGCAACAACAACGTCCCTAGCTCTTGGAGTTCTCTTTCCAGACTTTCATGTCCCCAGGGTTTTTGCCTGTTTGCCCTGCCCTCATCACCTCGGGCTCCCTGGCTCCATTCAAGGCTAAGCCTCCCATGTGAGGGTTTCCAGACCTCTCCTCACCCCATCTCCAAAGCAGAAGTCTGTTCCTTGGGGGAGAGGGGGCGCTTTCACTTTTGTATCTGTATCCCCAGCTCCTTGGCCCGGAGTTAAGCCCTTAATAAACGGTCCTGGGAATATGTTCTTGGGAGAGCCCCTCATTCCGGGCCAGGAGGCCCTTATTTCTTCTAAGCACCCTTTGAACCATCTTGGCACCCCATATCCTTTCCCTGAGAGAGGCTTTACATCCCATCACCTGGCCCCATATTTGCTAGGATTACTCTCCTCAGTACCCGAAAACACACCCGCACTGTCTCCTCCCTCCCAAAGCCAAGGATCAGGCCGGGAGGGCTCCCGAACCACCATTTTCGTAAAGAGGATCCAGCAGCTCCGCCCCCCCCCCGCCTTGACCCGCCCTGGCCATTGGCAAACACCGTTACCAACACCCCCCCCCCAATCAAGCAGCACCGTAGAAACAAATGTCAACCGAGCGGAGCCTAGGCATCGGCCTTGGCATCCCGCGGGCGCGGCGGGCGGCTTCCAGCCGGGGTTCCGCCGAGGGCCGACGGCTGCTCACAGGGGAGACGGGGAGGGGCGCGGAGATGGCGCGCGGGGGGGGGGGGGGCAGCCAGGCCCAGCGGCCCCGGGCCGGGAGGCGAAGGCCGCCCTTGCACTGCCCGGCCCGTCGCGTCCCACCCTTCAGCGCCGTCCAGATTGGCCCCTCACGTGCGGGGCTGCGCGTCCCCCCCGCTCCCAGAGCCGCTTCGGTCAGGGGGCCGGCCTCCCCCGCGGCCTCTCACCGTGGCCCGTGGCCCGCCGGCCGCCGCCGCCAGACTCCTCGCGGCCACTTCCCAGGCTCTGCCGGCCCGCCGCTCCAGCTGCACATCCGGGAACTCCCAGAAGCTCCTCCCCATAGCCGCGGCCCCGTGACCTCCTGGGAAAGCTCGCGGGGTGTGGGGGGGTGCCCCGCCCTGGCTGGCCCCACCCCCTCTGGGCCCCTGGGCTCACCAGTGTCCTCTCGGAAACTGACAAGCGGGACTGGGGCCCGAAGCTTTTCAGCCCCCGCAGTGCCAGCTCTCGGGACTGGTCCCTTCCTGAGAAACCGGCATCTTGGGCACTTAGCTGCCCAGGCCTTTCTGGGGGAGGGTAATCGAGGCAGCCGTGCTTACTCGTTCCCTGCACCCATCTCTCTGGGACGTCAGTAGGACCGTCCCCTCGGAATGACCTCGGACTGCCTGATCACGACCCCAAAGTGGACGGCCACCTGACCACGGGCAAGAGAGAGGTCTCTCTCGGGCCTTCAGATGGTCTGGAGGCTCCGGGGCGCCGGCAATTTGCTAACGTGTTGGAAGATTCCGTGCAGTGGCGGTCGGGTTTGGAAACGGGCTGCCATTCGGCATATTAGCTACCCCCATTCTCCCCCTCCCCAAGCTATCCAGATCTGAAACCTTTCATCCCGGACAAAGCGAGAGCAAACTAACAGTTTATGAGCTTCTTTTGGGGCTGCCCCAAATCCTTGGAGCCTTTCCCAACAAGGGCTGCCTAGCCAGGCCTCATTGCCCCATCTTGTAGCTATTCTAGTTGCTCTTTTAAATCGAGACAACTTTCCATTTCGTGCTATTCAATCCGCCAACTTCCGCTCTCAAAGAATCACAGAGGCCGGCCTTCTGCCAGCCTGAAATGCCTGCGGTACGGAAGGAGGATCTAGCTAAAACTAAGATATGTGGCCCTACGAAATCAGGCCCAGACTACGAAGAATTACAACAAAATTCTTCCTAAAGGATTTCAGCCCAAGGTCTGAGCTAGCCTAACTCTGCTTGCGTGCCGAGCCGGCCAACCCTTAAAGCAAGGCCACTCCCTGGAATCTTTGAAGCCTAGAGGTCAGGGAAGCTGCAGTCTTTCAAGGGCCTGCTTCCTTCCCCGTCCACGCCAAACTAAGCAGCTCCACAGGTTTCTTGCAGCCGCTTCCCATTAGTAGTGCCTACCTACCTAGTATTCGGAAGCCCAGAAACTCAGCCTCGGGCGGTTTGGCCAGCCAGTACTTGGGGAGACTGGAGGAGGAGGGGCTGCCTGATCACTTGTCCAAGGGCCACTGTAACTAAAACCCAATACCAAGCCCCCACCTACCCACCCAGCCCCTCCTCTTGGCAGGCAGGGAAGCTGTCCCCTAATCTGCCCGGCTGCTCACTGGAACCTAGTCCTCTCAGCAATTGTCTCAGTCGCCTGCAGATTGCTTTTCTCTAAGGTCAAATGCCCAGCTAGCTAAAGCCAGACTCTTCTGAAAAGAACTGAACAGACCATATCCTGCACACCCATCCAATCCCAGCCTGCTCCCAGGAGCTCCCCCCACCCCTAGAAATGAAAACAGGAAGTCTGTGCTTAATGACGCCAACCAGCCTCAGCCTAGAATGAGATCCCTGCTCCTAGTCCACATGTGAATACCTCAATTGGGCCACCCCACCCAGGGACCTAAGGAAACTCCCAGGTTGGTGGCTGGGATTGCAGTTTGGGTGTAAGTAGGGAAGGAGAGTTCCTAAGTTTAAAGGCCCAGGAACCCGAGCCAAGTCATGGAGAACTTTAAGGCAGTAGTTTTTCTGGGCCAGGAGAGGGGCCTGTGTGAGCAATTTAGGCTAAAAGAGGTCTTCCTTCTGAAGCCTTTCACTAAAAACAAGCTGACTGTAACCCAACATCACAATCTCCTTTGGCAGCCATATCACACTACATTGCCTGAGAGCCCAATCTCTGGCCACTCCCTTTGGAACGAACGCGAAAATGTCTTATTGTGGACTCAAAGTAGGTAGGAAGAGAACAGGCAGATAGATGTCTCTAGGACCTCTCTTTGGACCCATCACACCCACCTCTATTCCACACTTATGAGAGGGTATCTGAGGTATTGCCCTTTCCTGCTATTTTTCATTAATGTGGAAGGATAGTATAGAGAAGGAGCAGCTGTGGAAATTTGGATGGGCCTTGATAGATCAGCTTGTAACTGAGCCAAATCCGGGCAAGAAGCATGAATGGCACTGGAGTCGTTGGTCAACCAAATCTACCCTTCCACCTTGGACAGCCTTCGAGGCCTTGGCCTCCACCAAAACATTATGCCAGATCCTAGCAGTCAGGGGTGGGGATCCCCTTAAAAGATCTGTTCTGTGAGGTTTGGATTCAGTCAAAGGACCAAACTTGAGGACCTGGAATACCACATGTGACCAAGAGTTTGAAGGTTCCCCATGCCCACCCTCAATGCTGCCCCCACTTCACACCACCTAAACCGAGCTGCAGGTGAGCCTGACTCTTAAGTCATCAGCAAGCTTCCATCGCCCAGCCTTGCTGCCCATCCTGTCTCCTGAGCCCACCTTCCCCAGACTGGTGTCTTCGAGTGCTGAACGTACCCGAGCAGGAGACCTAGCTTTGCACCCTGTCTCCAACATTAGCTATGTGGATACAGGCAAGTCGCCTCACCTGTTTCAGCCTCATCAATAAAACTGAGAATACCTTTAGTATTGATCTTCAAGGTGGGTGTAGGGATTAAATGGCAAGTTGCATCAAGCACTTTGTAACCCTTAAACATCTGTCACCACCATTCTTCCTTCCCAGCCTACAAGGCAATTCCTTGCAGCCTGAAAAGAAAGGCAACTATGGAAGTAGGCCCCGGCCTAGCTGAAGGCAAAACCAGTCTTCCCCTGCCCCTGGGCCCTTTCACTTGTACCACGGGAACATCTGGGCATCTCTCCAGCATGATTTTTCTGAAGTTCTGATTCTCCGCCACCCCAATTCAAGGAGAAAATATGACCACAAGAAGGCTCAGGAAACACAGAACTACTGAATCTAGACTGTATGAACTCTATGACTGAGTTCAATTTACTCCAATCCACTAGGCATCCAGTAAAAGCCAGGCACTGTGCCAGGCTACGTCCCTGAAGGGCTCTCCCTTCTACTGGGCCAGGGTCCTTGCTGGAGATGGAGTCTTGTCCCAAATATTTGGTTCCAGGTTTCATGCTCCAGAGCTAGATAAAGGCTGCTCCACCTTTTCTCCCCTATGTTCTTTCAACCTTTACAGGGATATAGAAGCAGGAGAGCCCTGGCTATGAGGCCCCAAATCCTTGTCAACAAAGCCTTCCTTGACTACTCGAGCCCACATTAAGCTCTCTCTTCTCAACCCGGTTACTTATAAGCTAGAGCAGCCATTTCAGGACTTTCTGGACTTTCACTATTATTTCGCCTCTCGTTTCTACAACCAGGGGACAAGGCTTATATTCTCGATTCCACCCCCCTCCCCTCCCCTCCCTCCAGGCTATCAGAGGTTTGGGTACATGGCTTATATTAAATAATATTAAATTCAAGATTCATGTCAAAGACGAAGGGATAGTTGTGTGGGCTGCTTTTTTTTTCATTTTTGTAGTTTTTTTATTTGGTGGTTGTTTCTTGTTGGGAAGTTGGGGAGGTGGTGAAGGCCGTGACCAGGTACCGAGAGAGTGATCAGGCCTCCACATGTTGTTCTTGGATTGAGGAAAGAGCAAGAGAATGACACAGTGTGATCTGAGGACCATGAAATTTCTTTGAGCACAGTAACAGCATGGGAAGGCCCCTTCTTAGGTTTTCCTCTCTGTCCTACAGTTCAATGCCCAATACCAGCATGCCACTGACCATGCCCCTGATTCCAGTGTCCTAGGGGAGCCACTAAGCTTCTGTCAAAGTACCTATCACGTGGTCACTCTCCCTCAACCTCTTCCTCCTCTTCCTCTGTCCAGCTCAAATTGTCATCTGAATCCTCACGTTCCTCTCCAATCATCCCAGACCCAACATCCTCCCCAACCTTCTCAGCCGGCATCCCTGTGCCTGGCTGCTCCAACTGGGCCCAAGGCCCTGGGTCAGCCTTGCTCAGGGTTATCTCTGCCCGGGACAGCATGAGGGAGACAGAACTCTGCTCCACAGTTATGACCTGGAGGAAAAAGACAGAAGAACTTGGGGAGAAGATTACAGGTGGAGACAAAGAAAGAGAGAGGGGGGTACAAGGGATAAGAAGTTACACAGAAGTCAACGTGAAGGGATGAACAGGGAGAAAGGAAGATAGAGGTGAGAAGAAATCAAAGCAGGTGGCGAGAAAGCCTCCTCAACTTTCCCACCACTCAAAGCCTCTCAATGCCTGCCCTGATCTCAGAGAGCTTCCAATCAGACATTTCCATCCACTCCCCCAACTTCACTCACCCCCCAGAGCTCCATTTGTTCCTGGAAGACCCGGTTACCCTCAAAAGATATGTAGATATGAAGCTGAAAGGGAACAGAAACACGTGAGGACACAGGCAGGTGAGGGGGATGGCCCTCCCTCGGTCCAGCAGCCAATTTGTGCCTGACCAGTACCCTCCCCACAATTAGCAGCACCCTCACCTTGGTCGGACTGGCCTTCACCCAGCTGAGTGCAGGCAATGGGCCCTGGCCATACACAGTCACCACGACTACAGAGGCTGTCTGGTGCCAGTCATAGCGGCAGGAGACCCATCGCTGAAGACAACATGACAGAATGACGAGGTTTCCAAATCCATTTGATTATCTAGTAGGTTATAATGCTCAGGGCACCCGGTGGAATCCCGAGGAAATGTACCTGCCTCCCATCCCAAAGCATCTGGACCACTAAGGAGCAGGATGTCACTGTGACAATGCAAGGAAGGGGCAGGGAAGACCTCACCAGGCTGGGTTCCAGCCAACAGGTCAAGCAAGATGGGAGCCCAGAGGTCAGGCTCACCTGCTTCTGCCAGACATGTCTACCAAGGCTGCATCCTGGCTGTGCCAGGAACATACTAAAATCCATGGTTGTTACGCCACAGCAGCTCCAAGATTTCATCCTGCGGTGGGAAGGCCATTAAGGTGCATTTGCCCCTTCTCATACCTCAACTCTCCCTCTTCTGGCAAATACAACTCCACCCTATCCTTTCCCTTACCCCTCATGGAATCGAGGCCCTCCCGGATGGAAGCTGCAGGGGCTAGCATCACTCTCAGAGCCTTGGAACACCTTGGAAGGAGTGGGAAGTAGGTAGAAAGGCAGGGAGGGAACAAGGGGACATGTGAGAGCTACCCCACTTCGAGTTTCTCACTGATACCCAACCACTCCTCAAGTCTCCCCAGGTTTCACTTACGGTACCACATCCTGGGTTCTGGCAGATGGAGCCAGGATGAACCACAGTGTTGGGGAGTCCTAAACAGAGGACACAGGGAGGTCAACAAGGACCGTTCTTGTCACCTTGAAATTCCAGCTGCATCTCAGGCTAGATGTCCCATAGACATCTTAAATTCAACATGTGCAAAATGGAAGGCCTTAACTTACCTTGAAACCCTTCCTCACTTGCTATGACTGTTGAGGCACCAACCTCCCAGTCACCTAGGCCTAGAGGTCATCCTCACTCAGCCGCTGTGTCCAACCAACTAGGTATCAGTGATCTCACCAATCTTCTACCTTCCGTCTCTCATATAGGCCTCCTCCTCTCCTCTGACACTGCCCCCACCCTGACACAGGCCCTTATCACCTCACCCCTGGACTACCACAGTAGCCTGCTTTGGGGGTGGGGAGGTACCCCACCTTCCTCCAAGCTCCCCCTATGCCAGGCCATCCTCTGTTCAGCTGCTAATGTTACTAAAGCACAAGCGTGACCACATCACTCTCCCTACTCCACAAACTCTGCTCCCATTCAGTAATGGGAGCCACAATCCAGTGGCTCCCTAATATCAACCTCTAGGATCAGTAAGAAAATCACCTGGCCTTTAAAGCCCTTCATAGTCCAGCCATCTCCCACCTTTCAAGTCTTTCCACAACTTCCTCCCCCATCCCAAGTCCTGGAGCCAGTGATTCTGGCCCCTTGCCATTCCTCCCACGAGCTACTCCATCTTGGGACTGTGTGTTTTTCCATTTTTTAAAAAACTTATTTTCAGTCCCAATTACCCCACTTCTCCACCCAATGAGAAAGGAAAAACACATTCCCCCTTTACTAATCCATATAGTAATGCAAAACAAATTTCCACAGTGGCCAGGGACAAAAGAAAACCTGCCCGAGTCTGTGCCGCGTGGAGTCCATCGGCTGTCTGGAGGCGGAGCCTCGTGGAAGTGCGCTTGCTCACTTAAACTCTGTGCACTCTCACCGATCAGCTCCTGGAACCCTCTCCCTGATCATCACCTCCCGGCTTCCCTCAGGTCTCAGCTGAAATCCCACCACTTTTGGTTTTTTTTGGTGAGGCAATTGGGGTTAAGTGACTTGCCCAGGGTCACACAGCTAGTGAGTATCATGTGTCCGAAGTCGGGTTTGACCTCAGGTCCTCCTGACTCCAGGGCTGGTGCTCTATCCACTGCAGTGCCACCTAGCTGTCCCACAAGACATCAGAAATCCCACCTTCTCTGGAAGCCTTTCAAAGCTGCTCTTTTGCAACCTCTAGCACCTTCCCGACATTCTCTTCTACTTAGCCTATTTCTAGCTTGCATGTACACAGGCGTTTGCAAGTTACTGTTCCCCATCAGCCTGGGAGTGTCTTGAGAACAGGCCTAGCCTGGCCCTTCTCTGTGATGCCAGCACTTGGCACAGGGCCTGGCCCATAGGAGACATTTAACAAATGGCGGATGACTTGTTGACCTGCTCCAGGCTCAGGGTCCCCGAGGACAAGCTCCTTCTGTTCCAGGGCAGTCTCCAAGGCATGAGATACACTTAGTGGCAGGAGGTACAGGTTCAGCTCTTCCCTGTGGAGGACAGGAGGTTCAGATCCCGATGCCCAATGCAAGATCCCATGTCCAAGCTCCACAAGTAAGGATTCTGTGCCCGTCAAGTTCATCCTTACACAGCACTGAACAAAGCACAGGCCTAGTGAAGCAATGTAAGCATTCTTCTCCATTTTTAAAGAGGAAACTGAGGCTCACAGATGTTAAAGGGCTTGTCCACAGTGAGAGGAAGTGGTAGAACTGCTACTTGAACGTGGGTCTTCTTACTCTTCCACTAGACCATGCAAGTCATTTAATTTCTATGTGGCTCAGTTTCCTTAGCTGTAAATTAGGGACAAGAATAGCACCTACTTCACCAGGCTGCTATGACGATCAAATGAATAGAAGGCATGTAAAGTGCTTTGCAAACCCTCAAGTGATATATAAATGCTATTAGAAACCTCACTGCCCCACACACTATGGTGGGCAGCCACTGGAAGCCTCTCCAGGGCCTCCTGGAGCCATCACCTCAGCCACTCAGCTTCAGTCCATCTTTGCCAAAGCCAGCCCCCAGGTCTACACCTCCCTTATCTTCTACCTCCAGGGCCCCACCCTCACTGGAGCTTGTGGTTACCTCATCTCCCTTCTTTCTTCACCAAATCCCAGCCTTACCCATCCACTGAGACACAGAAAACACTATCATGCTCACTCTAGATCTAGCTCCGAGACCTCCTGTGCCCACCACCTAAACTCTAGAACGTACGAAAGACCTCTCCACACCTCCCTTCCCTATTCCTTCCCTCACTTAGGCCTTTCCCGGCGAAGTGTCTCTGCTGACTTCGGGATGGTGTCCAAATGCTTGGGCCCCCGCAGGGCACTTAGAGGCTTCTCAGCACAGTGTGGTCCCAGGGTACAGCCCTAGTAGCAATGGAGTCATGAGCATAAGGGACACATTGGGCTCTAGGGACTGAATGGGGTGAGCAATCAGGGAGGAGTACCCACATTACCTGGATGCTTAGGAATTCTGAGAAATCTGTTGTTCGCTTATGGCAACAGGACCAACCCTAAGAAGAAAGGATCAGTTCAACCAGGACTGCTTGGCATAGCCCCGCCCCCATCACGTCCTAATAAGCCATTCCCAGCACACCAGCTCACCTTAAGGGCATCATGGAAGATGGGCACCCCAGGGTGGTGGCGACAGCCATCTGTAGAGCAGGTAAGATCGAATATGAAAGCAAGAAAGAGAAGGTGCTGTCCAGCCACCACCCCTGCACCCTCCGCTGGATCTTTTCAGCCTATTTTTCATACCTATCAATTGAGCTGGGTGGGGAGAAGCCTACAGTTCTGGTTCCCCACCTAACTCCCTTCAGTGCACTGAATTCACCACCTCCCCCCACAAAAGCCACCACTCACCTGGGAGGTTGATATCTGGGTCGAAGTGCTGCCCACAGCCTTTATTAAAGCAGAGCACAGACATGGCAAGGGTGGGGGAAGTGGTGGAAGGCACTTTGTGGCAGAATAGTCTTTTCAGAGGCCTGGCCACCTAACATGCAAGTACCTCTTACTAAACTGAGAGTTATGGCCTTCTGGAAGGCCCAATGCCTATCTTTAGCTTAGAGGGCAAAGATATGCACGTGGCCTTGTCACTCAATGGAGGTAGCAGTAGGCCTGGTCATGGAGGAGGGCTCAAGTCCAGGAGAAGAGGCTCCTGGCAGAACTGGATGTAGGCCAGCTTGACTCCACCCCCACCAAGACCTCAGAACGTTAAGAGGCAGGCACTCAGGAGCAGCAGGGGCAGCCTCTGACTCTGGCATTTTCTATCTGATCACAAGAAACAAACTGGCGTGGGTTCGAGCGGGTGCTCCCTCAGGCAAAGGTTGGATGACCACCTGTCAGCTACTTGGGGGGGGGGGGAGATTTGTTTTCAGGGTCAAGGCAGACTCCAAGGTTCCTTCTACCTCCTATGGTAACAGTGAGGTGCACTCCCTCCCCAAATCTTTCTAATGCACTGGACACACATTTCTCGCCATGCCCCCAACGCCGAAAACACGTCTTCATATTCCCCTACCCCCAACAAAAGAGACAACACAGAAGGTGGAAAAAGGCTTAAAGTCTGTTTTTAATAATAATGTTGCTGCTGCATTCCTGTCTCATTTCTCAAATAAACTCCAGACTGTGAGAGGGCCAAACATCACCTACACCAGTTAAAGTTGAACAGCACAGCTCCAGGAAGACAGGCAAGCCTTAGGAGCTACAGGCATGGATAAGAGAACACCAGCACCCAGCAGCCCCTGCCCCTGCCTCCAAGCTCGAACTTGGACCGCCCAACAAGAAAGGGTGTTAACAATGCCACACCAGCACCTCCCAGAGGGAGGCAAAGCTCCTCCACTCTGGGCTGCCCCCCCCCAATGCAAGAAACAGAGAAGTTAAAAAACAAAAACAAAACAGATAATGGAAACCTAAAAGCAGATAATAAAACCTTCTTCTCAGGACATAAAAGGAACACTGGGTTGGGAAGAGGGAAGAGGTCTTCTACTGGTATTGTTGCCTGAACTTCATTAATACACCTGAGGTCCTAACCAGAGAGGAAATGGGGGTAAGGATTGTGTCTAAGTTACTGAGGAAGCAGTGAGGGGAGAAAGGTGGAATGGTCAAGGGAAACAGGGATATAGCCGGATCTGCTTGTGCCATGGCCTCCCCCCAACCCCTCTGTAGCCTTCACATTGAAGTTTTAGGAATGCGCCACATAGAACTGCTTCACTAAATGCCCCTCCCTAACCCCTCTCTGCCCTCAGCAAATTTCCTACCTAGAGTAGTTCAAGTGGGGAGGCCTAACTAGTAGGAGGAGCGGAGCCCCAACACCCCTCTAAGGTAGAATCCTGGCTAGTCCAAAAAGGGTCCTTGTCTGTAGGGTCAGGGGAAACTGGACACTGTGACTCTATTAGTATCTGCGACGTTTGTTTGGGCCAAAGTCCCCTCCAGGAGTTCCTCGGTTGAATGCGGGAGGGTTTCCACCCATTGCCCCAAGTCCTTCCATTGTACCACCCTGGCCAAAGCGGTCACTGGGTGGTGGGGTCTTCAGTGCCAAAGGAGAAAGGGAGAGAGGTGTTAAAGCACATCCCCTAATCCCGAGCTCCCCACTACCCAAAGTCCCTCTCCCCTAAAAGGCTGCACAATGGGTCTCGTCTCTACCAAAAACAGAGCCAAAGCTATCAGGGCCTCTCAGCTTTAGGGTGACCAAGGCTGACAATACCAGCAAGAAAAGCTGCCATAATCACCTCCCTGATAGCTCACCCCAATTTCTCATTGCTGACAAGAATCCAGACACTGTTCCATTTACTAAACTCCCTAAATTGGTCTTGTTTTGACCATGACTCTCGATTTGTGTATACTGGACTAATTCAACATTCTTCTTGCCTAGACAACTGAACTGGACCAGGCCACAGCCGTTATAGACTTGGGCCTACCCAATACTGACCAGGGAGGCCCACAAGTGAAGCATGTTTCTAGATCATACAGAGCAAAAACCTTTGGGCTCATTACATCAACCTCTGCGTATGTCCAAAATGATCTGACCTTCCCCCTCCCCGACAGGAAACAGCTGAACAATGAGCTCCTATAATAGTGTATCCAACTAAGCCCAAACAGTATGTCCTCGGGCACTAACTCGGGTAGTCTATCTGCACAATTTGAAACATTGTGTCACAGGGAATGAAGCTAAAGTGCAGTCCAAAGTACCGACTCTGGCTATGAACTATGGGGCAAGTCTTTTCATTTGACAACTCCTGGGCTCCTGTTCCTTCTTTTTTTAAAATGAGGAAGCTGGACTAGCTGGCCTGTGACCCTACAAACGCAAGAGTAGGGGCCTATGAAAGAATACCCCACAGAAAACAAGCCCTGCCTCCCCCCACTGGTCCAAGGTACCCCTAAGGCCAGCCCTGCAAATATATTACCATTCCCATGGTTCCATCGGGCATCATTGGACCAGGCCCTGGAGCACTTGGGGCACCAGCTGGCACATTAGCACCTCCCAGGGATCCTCTGTTGTTTATGCCCATAGCACCTAAAAACAGCAATGTAAGGAGCTGGAGGGGACTGGGAACGAGGACATCACCACAATGATAACATTCATATTCCACGCACTCCCCAAGCTCGATGGTTGCCCAAAGGATCAACGTCGTGGCCTCTCACACCCCCCTCTGATTACTGATGCCAAGTCAAGCATGGGGAGGGCATGGGATAGGAAGGACAGCAGAAGCTACCTTCACTGCCCATAGGCAACTCTCAAGCCAGGCAACTGGCACGACAGGATGCCTGCCACCCAGGCAGTGATGGCCTTGACCCACATCTAATCACAGCCACCAACTGCTTCTGCGTCATGCCAGTTGTTTGTTTCTGATTTTCTTTTTGTAGTCCTAGGTGCAAGGGAGTCTCGAGCCCAACACTAAACCCCAGCCACTGGAATGTGGGAGAGGTGAGAGGGAGGGGGAACAACCGCAGGAGCTGCAGCCTCAAGTCCTTACCTCCTATACCCATCTGGCCCATCCGCATCTCCTGCTCTCTCTAAAATAAACAAAATGGCACAAAAGTTCACCACAGCCTGCTCGCCAAAACCTCAGCAGACCCACCTTGGTTTTGTTCTAAGGACCATCTACACCCCCTCCCCCCATCCCTGGCCAAGCAGAGCTGCGGAGACACGAGCTACAGGCTCTCCTGTGAGAAAGGGACGCAGAGCATACGCATCACAGTCGCCCAGGACCCCAGACCAACAATCTGGCAGAAATACTTAGAGGGCACGAACAAAGGGCACTGGAGTTACCGCGGAACTTAGAAACTAACCCAGAACCACAGCGGAGGACGGTGGCCCTAATTTTCACAATGAGCTCGAGACTAGCCCTTATCTAAATCGTTTCTTCCCGCTTTGGGAACGCCCCGGGTCTGATACTAACACGACTGCAGCATGCCATATCTATTCCCGCTCAGTCAACCAGCATAAGCTCTCTAAACCCAAGCCTGGCTCCTGGTGCTATTTCTCCTCCAAAAGGTTCTCTCAGTGAGCAGGGGCCGGCCCTAGTGTCTTGTGGTGTCCCAGGCACTGGTTCCTAGTTGGTGTGTTATGCCATGAATGAGCAGCCCGTCAGGGGTGCCCGGGCCTAAGGCACTCCATACCGCATCAGGGAAATTTCCTTTGAAGCCCTCCTGCTGCCTTCGCATCATTTCTTCCTGCTGCCGCCTCATCTCCTCCTCACGCCGCCTGCGTTCCTCCTCCTGCCTACAGGGAGTACGGGGAGTCAAGAAACTGAAACGCTTGGGACACACCGGAACAAGGTGAGCTATCCTACATGGGATCCTACCAACCACACCAGGCTTTCTCTTCTGCCCTGCTTCATGGGAAGGCCCCTCTCTTGTCCCTCAGGTGCTTCCCTTTAGTGTAGTCCCAGTAAACTGCCCCAAACTATAGCCAGCTTCCAGGCTCACCTAACCAGAGAAAAGACCTAGACACAGCACAGTCTCAATCAACTTGGTTGGGAGTCAATTAAGAGGTTTTACCTAAAAAGATTTAGGAAGAAAGGGAGAGGGGATCATTAAAGCACCTGAGCTCCATTTGCTTGCGTTTCTGCACCTCCTGGTTATGCAGCTCCTCCATCCTTCGAAGCTCTTCCTGGCGTCTCATCAAATCTAGAAGAGGAGACGTTAGGCAACTGACACCCAGAGAATTTTTCACAACCAATATTCCTGTTTACCCAGCCACATCCACTTCCATATCAGAGGCTCGCAGATTTAGGGCTGGAAGATATCACCTCAGAAACCAACTAAGTTAATCCTCTCATTTTAAAGATGACAAAACGGAAGCCTAGTGAGGAGAGGTGACTCCACAGAAGAGTCACACCACTCAGCTAGGCCACATCAAAGGCAGGACTGGAACCCAGGCCTTCCTGACTCCCAAGTCACTACAGTACACTGTCTCCCATGGCCGAGTACATCCTCCAATAGGAAGCCTTCACTGTGCAGGCTACCAGCACTCAAAAAGAGGGGAAATCGACAAGGCATCACCAAGTTCCCTCTCTCCTAAGCTCCCATCTTCTCCAGATTATATTCACTACTTGACTAGGCCCCTTCTAGAACCCCCTTCTGTACTCTCGGGGCCCTCCACTTGCAGGCCTCACTCACCCTGCCTCATCAGCATGACCTGGTGCTCATGGCGAGCAGCCTCCATCTCCATCTCCAGTTTCTCTCTGGCTTCCTTGATGTTTCGGTCTACTTGGTCCTGCTGCTGCTTCTCCATCTCAATCAGGGCTTTCCAGCGCATGGCATACTCATATTCAAAGGAGCCAGGCTGGGCAAATCGAGGTGGCTGCTCTCGCTCCCTGGTAACACGAAGGCCTGCGGTCAGCTTCCAGCCTAGGATTCCACCCAACAACTACAATCTCTCGAAGGGCAAAGGTAATGTTAGAAAACCCTTGCCCCATTTCTTTTAGCCCAAATTATACAAAATCTGAAGCTTAGCCTGCCTGTCTCTCATGTACCCACAGACCTAAGGCACTCTCCTCCCTTCTTTCCTAGAAACAAATGTGCAACTGCTTAAGAGACTGGCTTCTCAGGGTCACATACTTGTGAAATTGTTGGTTCTTGATGACCAACTTCTCTGGGAGCCCTTCCTCATCATCTAGCTGGTCCATCGGCTCCACAGTCACTGGCCTAGGGAATCTAGGAGACAGGAAAGTGTCTTCAGAGTTAGTCAAGAAGGAAGCACTTGGCATTAACAAAGTCAACTACAGCTGGGGCTCAGGAGGGGCCTGACTAGAGGAAAGCAACCAAAGAGAGGCTGTGAGAGGCTTTCCCACCTAGTCCCAGGGAGCTGCACCCCAGAGGACCTAGGGCTGACATCCACAAAAGAATCAGCCTGCAGTTACCTGACTGAGTGCCAGCTACAAAGGAGTCATTCACAACAGGCAGAATCCAGAAGTATTCCAAGAACTCTATAAAGCACCTTGGGACAACCCCCACAG